GGCGCTCTACTTCAGCGATGGCGGCGAGTCCGCGGCCGGCAATCGCGTTCGTTGATGTCGTCGGCGTGTGACAATCCCTGCAGATGCCGTCTGGATCGGGGTTGTGTAACGCCGTTTCGCGTGGGTGGGGATGATGCGGCACCCACGGTCTGCCGTCAGGGTGCTTCCAATCCCTGCGGTGGATGTGCTCGAAGCGCAGTGGCACGAGATCAATCAACTCGTGCGAGTCGCCGCTGCAGTCGGGAATGTCGAAATCTAGGACATACACTCCATTTTCGGAGTGCGCTCGTCCGATCTACCTGCGGGGAAATTTGCGCGATTCGTAGTGCAGCAGGATGTCTCGCGTCGCGCGATCCGTGCTGAGGTCGACGCCGCAGTCCATGAGCTGTGCGGCGGACAGGAGGTTGAAGCGCAGGTTCTGGACGATCAGCACATCGTTAAGCATGATGTGCGTGCGGCTTCCACGTGCTTTGAGCACGACAATGCCTTGTGCGCTTGTGCGCAGGCGCGTGTTGTTCGCCACAGTGACGTAAGTGACTGTAGGGGTGGGGACGGCGTTGGATATGTAGCGCTCGGAGCCCACCATATGCTGGCCGCAGCAGCTGTCCAGGTACCAGGTGTTGTAGCGCTTGTTGTCGTCACGTGCGAGCAGCGCCAATCGCGGTGTGACGATGTGCGGGGTGTCGAACTTCAGAAATTGCTCGCGCGAGAGCCAATCAAGTGGCGCCACCCGCATGTCTGGTATGTGCGGGGGACTTTCAAGTAGCGGGACTGGGAGGTTCCAGTCCTGTTCGTCGTCGTCGTTGAAGTCGCGGCGCGGGCTGAACGGGTTGTTGTTGGTGAACGCGCCGATGGGGTGCGGTGCTGGCTCAGGTGAGGGTGAGCGAACACGGCGACGACGTGACTCGCGTGTCATGGCCATGTTGCTCATGACGTTGCGCGTAGGGGCAGTTGATGGCTGCTGCTGCTGATGCTGAACGGTTGAGTTCAGATTGCGCGCGGGTGGGGGTTGATACCCTTGGGCTGGACGCACGTCGCCTCGTGCGTCTTGTCGGCCGGACCAGTTGCTCGGATTGGTCTGGCGAGGGCGAGATCGGAACTTACATCGATCCGCCAAATGCCCAAAGTTTCTGCAGATTTTGCAGTAGAGGCGCCGCGGTCGTCGCTCTTCATTGTTGTCGGCGTAGAAGGCGAGCCGTTCGCGTTCTCGTCGTGGCGCTGGTCGCTGCTGATCCATATCCCGTTGTTCGACGAGAAGGGCGGCGCAAAGGGCGGCCTCCGAGATGACCCCCTGCTGTCGGAGGAGCGCCTTGCAGGGCCGCCACTCTGGGCCAAGCCCTTGAAGCACAATGTTCACGAAGATTTCATCGGAAATCGAGCTTCCCAACTTCGCGATTTGATCGCGAAGGCTCCGACAGCGGTTGATGTAGCTGTTGACCTTCTCCCCTGAGGTCATCTTAGTTTCCAGCAGTTGCTGGAGTAGTCGGCTCGAGGAGACGGAGTCCTTGGGCTGATACACGCCGTTCAGGTGGCGCCAAGCGTCGAGGGCTGGGGCAACCGATGCCTTGTATGAACGAATGTTCAGCTGCTCCGCCGGCGACATGTTACGCAGAAGGATCCCGTACGCCATCAGGGACTCGTTATAATAGCGAGTCCTGGCGTCGTCGATGTCCTCAGCAGGTCCCGAGTAGCTCCCGTCGAAATAATGATAAATCTGCGCGTTTTGCAGCAGCAGCTCCAGCTCGAAGCTCCAGGTGTAAAAGTCTCTGCCGTCAAAGCACACACTTGTCTTTATTTTTGATATGCTCAAAAACCTTGATTGCGCGGAGAGAATTGCTTCATCGCTAGGACAGGGAGTCTTGGGGGTTGAGCCATTCGTATCTAGGGAGAAGCCTTGCGGGGCGGAGTTCTGGCCGTTTGACGCCGGTTGAGTGGGTTGGGAAGAGGTTCCCGCGTCGCCATTCCGCAATGTTTGGAGTCCTTGGTCCAGGCTCGTGAGTCGCTGAAGCAGTTGTGCGAGGACGGCGGAAGGGATCGTCGTCGTTTCCTCGCTTGTCGCAGCCGGGTTGGGCTGCGCTTCAGCCGTCAGATTCGTGTGACCACCAGATCCTCCGGCCATTCTCACACGCGAGCGTGTGCCGGACGCCACTTTCCGAATGTCGTAATTTTCGGGAGTGGCAGTGCGAAGGATTCCCGAGCCGCTCTCATACCATGCTGCGATCAGAAGTTGATCGTGGCCTAGGATCTACTCAGGAAGGTTCGCACGCAGAGAAGTGATGTTGGTGGGCCCTTGACCTCAATAGCAGAGTGAATGTAAAATGCTTTGAGATCATTTAAAACATGCAAATACAGCAAATATAAATATGAGTACAGGGGAGATGAAACGACCTAGCTAGCCATGTACTCTAAGGGGTACATTCCCTTATTCAAATACATTCCCAACCGTGCGGCGCGAACAGTTATGAAACTGTTCGCGCCGAAACCATCCTGCCTGCAACTGCCTGATGCTGTCTGCTCCGACGGTCCAGATGCGTCCCAACTGTCTGACGCTTCGAGTCGATTCAAACCGTCTGACGCTTCGCGTTCATTCGCGATACTGCGTGCTTCTCTTTGATGCGGTGAGGAGTGCACAGTAATATTCAAGTATTACTATTCGTAACAATACCTTTCAGATTTTATATCAAGAGTTTTTTTTGCACTAAAAACTAAAGCAAACCCTTTTTAAGTAATGATGAAGAGGTCTGTGCAGTTCTTATATATAGCATATGGTTTTTGTAAAACTATTATAATTTATTGAAGTTAAAAAAAATATTTGTTATATGGACGGCTAAAACAATTTGCCTTCTGGAATGAAAATGGGATTACAAAAACAATATACCTACTAGAGTGCCATACCTGCACGTAGGTCACATTATTGGAATCGAAGTGCTCTTTGTTAGGGATGTCGAATGGGTGTGGTATGCTCGGCTTTCGCTCAGACATGTTCTCATGTGTTCGGGCATTTTGTGGATCAGATTTTCCCACTGCTGCCCGAGGGGCCAGTGGAGTGGATTTGCATTGGTGCCAGACTGCAAAAGCCAAAGTATGCTGTTTTGCTGTTTGCCCTGCTTTCGAAATTACCCAAAAACAGAAATCGCACCAACCTTCCGAACCACGGTTATGGTGCCCGAACCTCCCCTGCTTCCATAACCGCGTCGCAAGCAGTCAAAACCAGAAGCATATTTCAAAAACGGACCGTCGATTCTCCATCTGGTGTCCCGAACCAGCATTTTCCCGCGCTTAGCGCTGCGGGAACATGCGCTGCGTGCTGGCGCGCGTCACTCAGTTTCGCATTTGAATTTCGTTCTGGCGCGGGCTCACCAAGAAAAGCTACGACAGGAGGAGCTGGTTCACCGCTTCGCCTTGTCTCGAACCAAATTCCATGCAACAGAGCAGACCGTACATCCACTTGCTACCATACAAAGAGATGCCAGAAGGTCGAGCCTTTGTGCGTGGTGTGGGAAGGGAATGTGGTGTATGCGCCCGAACTAACTCCACAGCCAGGCCTCACTTCAGCTAGTACTGGAGAAGCAGATGCGGAAAAAAGGAGACCATGCGTTACGCAAAACTGTGACCAGACACTGATGCTGGCGCGAGGCGACCGGGGCGCTGGTGTAAAATATTTGGCCGTCATCAGAGAAAAAACATTCATCCCGTTGGTAGGTGGTGACACATTCTCGATCAAGGCAGCACCTGGGAGTCTCGGACCAAGTATCTAGGGCGTACCACGCACTTACGCCGCCAATAACTAGCTCTCTCGAATTGCCCTGGAGAACTTCACACATTAGTCCAATCCAGAATTGCTGGATCAACTAATACCGTCAGAATCAGCCACCATCTAGACTCATTCGCTAGGAGCAACCCTTCTTCTTTTGTTGCAGAAGCCAGTGATCGCGACTGGCCCACTCGAGAACGTACACTAGGCTAGCCGTCCATCCTAAGCTCGCAGTATTCGCATCGCTGCATGGCCGCAGCTGCAACAGCCGTGCGATCTCGTCATACTCTCTACCAAGCGCTTCCGCTCCACACCCTCCCTCCCTGCCTCGCCATCTCCTCGCGTCACTTCAAGGACTCCCTGCCGAATCCTCGGCTCCCCATGCGTTTCCACTAAGCCGCAGCGCATCCGCGACGGAACACCTCTTGCCATCCTCGCCCGTACCCGCGTTTGGCGCGGTGAGCCGAGAATAATCCCTCCCGACACGTGGCGTACGAGTCGTACACAGACCATACACACACCCCCTTATTCTCACACGTTCCTCGTCCGTTTCGCTGGCCAATCGTTCCGAACCGCCGCCGGAGCGCGCCACTGCACCCAGCAGCCATGGCAGACGAAAACCAGCAGTCACAAGCCGTCGCGAGGAAAGGTACGCTTGACCGCGGCTGCAGCCACGATATAAGGTAGACCTAGCTGAGACACCCATTCTTGAGGCGCCTGGAAGGAGTAAAATCAGTCCGGAAGGACGTGGTGGGCATGCCGATGGTGACGCGTCGAAGAGGAGTCGAATCTGGATCCGCCAACGACGCAGCCGTAACGGATGAGTTAAACAGAAGAAGACTCGTAATTGAGCTCCGCTGTTTCCCACAGCCATTCCCTACTCGTTCCCATGCACTAGGACATCCGACGTGCCTCACCATCACCGCGTTTCACTCCCCCAAGAGATCTCCTTGCGAGAAGTTTCTGAAGCTCCCGTCTCAACACCATTATGCCAAACCCTTATTCTGCCTCTCCCGTCACATCTCATCGACGCGTGGTTTCCTCTCTGCCCTTCCCCATACTACACCAGCGCCAGTTCTTGTCGCACCTGGCGCACCGGCGCCTAGCGCGCTTGCGGCGCCGGCGGGAGCGCGGTCGTTCTCGAGTCGCCGAGTGCTGGCCGAGGTGGGCAACCTGGTGGAGCTCACTGCCGCCGCCGCCGCCGCCACCGCTGCCGGGAAAGACGGGTAAGGGGAACGCGGGCGAGATGGGGCTCGAGAAGGATAAGGAAAGGTCTCGGAGGGATGGCCGTGTGATGGAAGGCTGTGGCGGATGGTGCATGCCGTCTGCAGCGTTGCGTATTCCTCCCGCTGCTCATGCTGCTCCCGCTGGGCCTATTCCTCCCGCTGCTGAGCCGTGTTTGCACTCTCACTCTCTCCTTGAGCCAGACAGCTGATCTATCATCTCATCGCTACTGCTGGACTCATTTCTCCACGTGCGCAGGAAGCCCCTGACCTCCGCCGCCGCCGCTGCCGCCTCCGTCGTTACCGCAACCGCCGTTGCACCGGCTCAATTGGGCAAGGGCGCCCGTAAGGCCTGCGCGTCGGCCGCCACCAGCGTTACCGCCGCCACCGTCGATGTCCCCGTGCTTCTCGCCGCGTCTACCGCTTCCACCAGCGCCGCAACCGAGCAGACCGTTGCGGCTGGCGCAGAGCGCGCAAGGCCTTCCGCGGAAGCTGCCGCCGCGAAAGCGGGGACAGGGCGGGGGGGGAATTGCGGCGGGCGGAAGGTGGGTGAACGGGAAGAGCGGGAGAGGCGGGAGAGCGAGGAGGAGGGAGTGCCGATGCTGACGATGACGATGACGGCGAGTCTGACGGCGTGCAGTGAGGAGGCGTGCGGAGGCGGAGGAGGAACCGGGGGGGGCGGCGGAGTTGATCTGATGGATGCGGAGGTGCCGGCGGTGATGGATATCGACTGGGAGGACCGGCGCAACCCGCTCGCCGCCACGGCGTACGTGCGCGACATATACGCGCTGTACCGCCGCATGGAGGTGAGCCGCGCTGCTGCTGCTGGTCGTGGGGGTGGTAGTGGTAGTAAGTGCTACTGGGGGCCGAGACGGAAAGTTTGCGGGAAGGCGGAAGCGTGCGCCTCACTGATGGTACTCAGCCAATCAGCTATCGATGTTTTAAGCTTCTTTCCCTGGTTACTTCCCTCACCACAACACATCCGCCCTTTTTTCCCCGGAATTCCCCCTTTTTCTCCCCCGTGCGCGCAAATGCAGAGGGAGACGATGGCGGCGGAGAGCTACATGAGCCAGCAGGCGGACATCAACGACAAGATGCGCGCCATTCTCCTCGACTGGCTAATCGAGGTCCATCTCAAGTTCAAGCTCATGCCGGAAACGCTCTTCCTCACCGCCAACCTCATCGACCGTTACCTGTCCCTCGCGCCCGTGCGCCGGCGCAACCTGCAGCTCGTGGGTGTGACCGCCATGCTCATCGCGTCCAAGTACGAGGAGATCTGGGCGCCCGAGGTGCGCGATTTCGTGTACATATCGGATAACGCGTACAGCCGCGCGGAGGTGATTGCGTTGGAGAAGGAGATGTTGAACGCGCTGCGGTTCCAGCTCACGGTTCCCACGCCGTACGTGTTCGCGTCGCGGTTTCTGAAAGCGGCGGCGGCGTCAGCAAGGGCGGCGGGGGGAGCGGCGGCGGGAGGCGCTGGGGAGGCAACGACGGCAGGCACGGCGGGAGCGACGGCGGCAGGAGCAGGAGCGGAGAAGGTGATGCAGAGTCTGGCGTGGTTTCTGCTGGAGCTGAGCCTGCCTGAGTACAGCATGCTGAAGTTCTCCCCGTCGCATCTGGCGGCAGCAGCTGTGTACACGGCCATGCTCGCCCGATCGCAGCATCTCATGTCACAGCAAAGCGGCGTTGGTTGCAGCAGTACTGCCGCTGCCGCTGCCTCTGCTGCTGCTACTGGATCTGTTGTTCCTGTTGCAAGCTCAAGTAGCGGCAGCAGCCAGCAGTCTAACAATGCGCTGCCAGTTGCTGTCCCAGTCTCTGTCTCAGTTGCTGTTACAGACGGCCAATCTCCAGCTACCAGTGTTGCTGCTAGCGCCACCAGTCTCAGCCTGTGTAGGAGTATCAGCACCAGCACCAGCACGAGCACCAGCAGCAGCAGCAGCATCAGCAGCAATGTGAGCCGACCATTCTGGTGTCCTGTGATGGTTCTTCACACTGGATACACGGAGGCGGACCTACAGCCATGCGTGAGGATGATGGCAGAGCTGCAGCACAAGGCGGGCAGAGGGAATCTAACTGCCGTTTACAAGAAGTACAGCAACCCCAAGTTTGGAGAAGTGGCCAAGCTGCCTCATGTGAGCGTTCCAACGCCTGCACCTGGGCAGTAGTAGGAGAGGACGGAGGATCTGCCACGGCCAGAGGGATTTTGGCATGGATTTTGGCATGATTTTGGCAAGTGGAGGATAAAGAGGATGGCGCATGGCAGGAGGTTTGGAGGAAATGCTACAGCCATGAAAAGTTATTGTGAACAAGGTGGCAAAGCAGTCTCAGCCTTGCCACCAGTTCGTGTGGGCACTTACAACTGGTTGCTGTTCCCTTATCCAAGAACAGCTCCAAGAAGAATGATGGGATGTAGGACTCGCTGTTAAAACCGAAATATAAAATAGTGAAGGCGGATCCAACTTGAAATCGTGCTCGGAAGAAGCAAAACTGGAACGACGATGGGCTGTGTAAAACACTGTTCCGGGCATCGCCCTTCCACAGACTGAACACACGTGATTCGTTCCCGCCAAAAAAAAAAAATCAGATCGTGCTCGCGCGTTCGCATTTTCTGCATGCGACATTTGCACGACAGTTGTTTGTCGTGCGTTTTGATGGTTGGACCCGACTTCGACTTTCAAGCTGGGCCTGGGTTCCACATATGCTTACTTCAACTCCATTCACGTAGCTTGCCTAACTCACGGAGCTTGCCTGGCATAGAATAGCCAGAGACGAGGGATTAGGCTGATGCGGCATAGAAATGAAATTATCATTAGATTGTTTGTGATACTTCGTCGCCGTTGCTGCGTAGTGATATTTTCCTCGCGATCACAGAGAACCCCATTCCCGTCGCCATTCCTCTCACCCCTCTCATCGCCCACTATGCTATCCTCGAGTTCGCCAAATCGCCCACCCGTCTCCCTTTCCGTCGCGCGTCACGTCGCCATCTCGTCGCCCGTCCCGTCGCCCTCTTCGTCGCCCTCTCTCCCCTCCTCTCCTCCCGTCGGCCTCTCTCTCGCCCCTCCCTACCGATCGCCCTCCCGTCGCTCGCCCCGTCGCGCTCTCTCTCTCCGCTCCCTTCCCGTCGCCCTCTCTCTCGCCCCTCCCTTCCCGTCGCGCTCTCTCTCTCCGCGCCCTTCCCGTCGCCCTCTCTCTCGCCCCTCCCTTCCCATCGCTCTCTCTCTCTCCGTTCCGCCCTCTCTCTCGCTCCTCCTTCGAATCGCGCTCTCTCTCCGCTCCCTTCCCGTCGGCCTCTCTCTCCGCTCCCTTCCCGTCGCGCTCTCTCTCTCCGCTCCCTTCCCGTCGCCCTCTCTCTCGCCCCTCCCTTCCCGTCGCGCTCTCTCTCTCCGCTCCCTTCCCGTCGCCCTCTCTCTCGCCCCTCCCTTCCCGTCGCGCTCTCTCTCTCCGCTCCCTTCCCATCGCCCTCTCTCTCGCCCCTCCCTTCCCGTCGCGATCTCTCTCTCCGCTCCCTTCCCGTCGCCCTCTCTCTCGCCCCTCCTACCCGTCGCGCTCTCTCTCTCCGCGCCCTTCCCGTCGCCCTCTCTCTCGCCCCTCCCTTCCCATCGCGTTCTCTCTCTCCGCTCCGCCCTCTCTCTCGCTCCTCCCTTCGAATCGCGCTCTCTCTCCGCTCCCTTCCCGTCGCGCTCTCTCTCTCCGCTCCCTTCCCATTGCCCTCTCTCTTTCTGCTCCCTTCCCATCCTCCCTTCTCGCTCGCCTCGAATAGCCCTCCCGGCGACCTTCGACTCTCCCATCACGTATGCCCTCCTTTCTCCGTCGCCTCTCTCGTTCTCCCTCTGCTATCGCGTCAGCGTGACCCTTTCCGTACTCTGTTATTGTGTTTGGTTTGTTTGTTTTTTCTGTCTTTCCATCTATTCTCGACACCCTCTCTCCCGCCGCCTATCCTCTCTCCCGTCGCCCTCCCGTTTCCCGTCGCCCTCCCGTTTCCCGTCGCACTCCCGTTTCCCGCCCCCCTCCCGTTTCCCGTCGCCCTCCCTTTTCCCGTCGCCCTCCCGTTTCCCGTCGCCCTCGCGTTTCCCGTCGCCCTCCGGTTTCCCGTCGCCCTCCCGTTTCCCGTCGCCCTCCCTTCTTCCGTCACCCTCCCTTTTCCCGTCGCCCTCGCGTTTCCCGCCCTCCCGTTTCCCGTCGCCCTCCCGTTTTCCGTCGCCCTCCCGTTTCCCGTCGCCCTCCCGTTTCCCGTCGCCCTCGCGTTTCCCGTCGCCCTCCCGTTTCCCGTCGCCCTCCCGTTTCCCGTCGCCCCCCTTCTTCCGTCGCCCTCCCGTTTCCTACGCCCTCCCTTCCCGTCGCCCTCCCGTTTCCTGTCGCCCTCCCTCTTTCCCTTCATTCGCGTCACCTTGCCCATCATAATTTCCCCCCTAGTGCTGTTTTTCTCTTCTGTTTCCCGTTATTGCACCTCTCCCAGGCCTCAAGTCCAAGGCAGCACATTGATCAGAGCTCTACTAGCTCTAATAACGTTCAAACACTTTCACTCTCATCACGTACATGTGTGTCTGCTTGGGATTTAGCGTGAGATGTTGCTAGTTGTGAATTTGGTGAAGTATTGGCTCTAGTGAATGCAGGAGTGCTCGTCGCTCAACTTTGCGCCAAATTCGCACATGTACATGTGAGAGAACTTGGCTGCCAATCAGAATTGACAATGAACTATCGTTCCTGGTCCAATAAGAAACTCGTCCGAGGGTCGGAAAAAAAAGCACACATACAGCAATTCCAACATTCCAAAACAAAACAAAAATACTTCATCTTCAAGTGGACCCAACTAGAAGGGGGGGGTCACTATTTTGCCTGCTGGCTTTAAGGCTGTTTCATTTATTATAGATTGTTACTGCCCTTCAATCAGACAGCACTGCTGTCATTTACTCACTTAAGAATCGATTCAGACGGAAAACAAAGCATTTGTCTGTAATAACTTGGTGTCACATCTGTTGTTGCAGCAGAGCTTAGCAATCTCAACTAGGCTTATTTAATATAATAGATTCTATAAGTATGATAACCATAGTGCTCACCTAGCACATGAATCAGCACCAGGGTGGTTGCAATGGTTGGAAAAGAAAGAGAGCAAATTGAGGTTGGACGTCTCTTTGCTATTCACAGCACCTTTTAAAATCCCCCCATCCCGTAATTTCCTCTCTTCAGCGTTTTTGCTTGCTTCCTGCTGTCAGCTGGGTGAAGGCTTCGGGCGACAAATACTTCCACCACCGCACTGCACAGTCCTCTTCCTCAGGACCGCAAAGAGCATTCGCAGGCTCGCCAACTGGCCTCACCCGGGGTCCCTTCCAAGGCTTGAACTTGCCATTGAAGTGGAGAATCTTCGCTTCATTAGCCCACGGGCTAAGGAAGGGGGTCTTGTTGGGCTTTCCGAGCCCCATACGCTCAAAGTATGCCAGTTCCTTCTTTCCAAACTTTTCCCGACCCAAACCCCGTGTATTCCACTCCCGCTTCAGCTTGCGGTAGCGGTCATACAGGGTGAGGAGAAAGGGTGGTTGAGATAACCCGTAGCTGAGGGATGGTGGGTAGGAAAATAAGTTTTAAGGATGGTGAGATCCTTTATGAAGTGCAAACGTCGAAAGAAGGACGAGGATGTTTCAGCAGGAGAAGATGAGGCATACTCTTACCGGTACAAAGGCTCTTTGGCATCATTGTGCAGCTGCATCCACCACTCAATGGATTCGGTCATGTTCTGAGCTAGCCACTGCTGCACATCCATAACCAGCACTCCTCTGTTAAAGACACATGCTGTCTTATCAAAAGGGAATTTAGGCATCCACGGCTGGTCAGGTTTCTTCCGTGCATGGATCTCGGCGAGTTGATTAAAATCGAAGTACTGGTCGAATGTCTGCATGCAGTCCTCCACCGCTGCTGCTGCCATGCCGCCCATGTCAACATGAGCCAATTCCGCAATGTCCCCCTGCAATACATTCAGGGCATTACGTAAACCGTAAGCTCCAAAAGGTAAAATGCGAGGGCGGCAACCACCAAGCAGCTGAGGGAAAAGGCTTGTGAGAGGATGCGTCGCACAGACAGCGAGTAGAGCACAGTGAACATTGCTGTACGTACCACAACAACAACGTCCGAGTCCAGGTACACAATGCGGTCGAGGTCCTGAGCGATGAGAGGCAGATAGAATGGCAGGAAATTGAAAACGCTAACCAGCTCCTCCCTCGCCTTGCTTCCCTCCTTGTACACAATGAGGTGCTGGATACGCTCGCGGTCAATGGGCTTTCTGAGAAAGGCAATGACACATGAAAAGACGAAGAGCAGTTAAGTATGCCTTTCGGACGTATCAGGTGATGGATGTGATGCATACTGCACGTGAAACTCATTACGCGTGATTGAACCGACAAGGACATACCTGTTAATGTCGATCCGGACGTGAGGGAAAAGAGGCAGAAGCCTTTCTTCGACCGCCTGGATATTCTCCTCAGGTATCACCAAATGGAAAAACACCAGGTGCGGGTTCCTGGAGTGGTTCCAAGAAAAACGATAAGAGAAATGATGTGTTGTTGTGAATTCTGGAGTGCTTGGAATGGTGAGTTGGCGACAACGTAAATTCTGGTTCTGAGTAGCACGAACGTAGCAACTCGCCTAGTGTTCGTGATAGTTGAGTTGATGACGACGGCGATCGGGCGTAAGTCCGCTTCGTCTGTCGAGACGAAGACGTGGACGTCCTTAAGCTCCGACGGCAAGGGCGTTGCTTCATCGCCACTTGAATCTGCAGGTTTCACGTCGTCGTTGCTTTTCAACCCGTTCTCAGAAATCTCGGCAGTCTCTGCATCAGAGTTCCTCACGCTCTGGTCGACCTCCTCAAAAGCAATGACTTCTTGAACCTGTGCTCCTTGGCGTTGATGCTGCTCCTGGCTTGTGCTCTGCTGCTGACCGAAATCTGACGTTGAAGGCACAGCCAGGGTGCTTCGAGAAATCATGTCGGCTCTCTGTTGCAATCGCCTAGTATCAACGCCTCCCGCTGGAGTGGTTACACTGATCGACACCGCGCTGGGAGCCAGTCCGTCCGAGTTTTGTTGATGCGAGCTCGCCATGGACATCCTCGTCGCCATTCTCAGGAACGAATGCCGGACGTCTTGAGGGGTGATGCCATGAAGCAGCATGTGAAGGAGGAGGAATATGCAGCCAATCAGGACGCCCACAAGCATCGTCCTCCCAACGAATCGCTTTCCTGTAGCTTCCTTCTTCAACGTGTCCGTGTCTGCGACGAGAGGTATGTCAACAAGCAGAGCGGTATCGGTAGTCTTTGAGAGGAAACCAGCGGCCTTCCCTCGGCTCGCAGATTTGGAAATACCGTCGGGGGTTTTCACTGACGCCATGATGGTAGAGAACAGTCGCGGCTGCAAACGATTACTCTCGAAGCGGTGGTCGCAGCTTACGAAGTCGTGCTGAATTCGACGAAAAGCATTGCACTACCGCCTCTGAACGAGGAAGGGGTGGATAAGATACTTCCCGTTTTCGGCAGAATCGGCGAATAAGTGAGGGTTGGGGCTCTGACTGGAGTTTCCTTTGTTCGGCAACCAACTTCAAAGTTTGAGGTGATGACTTCCCAAGGGAATTTCGTAGTAGTATATTACCACCCATAGTCAGCCCCTCCTCTCCCCTAGTCACCAGGTTGACCGACCATCGAATCTCGATTTTACCCCCTGGCGCCGCAGAATTCTCCGGTGGAGTCGCTCTTAGATCTGGCGGTCTGAGATTGGCTGGCGGGGCTGTGGCGCGATGGGATTGGCTCGCAACGCAAAGAAGGGGGCGTCTCTTTGGGATCGCCAGGCGACTCGCACGACATCCTCCCATCGAATTTCTGTTTCGGACTCGGCATTCTTCAGAGCCAAGCGACAGGCGTCTTGGGATCTCGATGATATGACGAGGGATTGCGACATTCCACGACGAACTGGACGAAATGGTGTAACCAGGTTCTTCCGATGGTGTCCGCCATAAAAAACTTGTGCATTTTCGACTCTCGACTATAGTCGTTCCTATGTCGAGGGGTAAGTTTGTTCGCAGCGCGAGCGCAGGACGCGCGCCATGCTGAAGGGAGTGCGCGCAGGTCAACCTGTCATTGGGAGTATCGTAGTGCATGGACCTTGCCTTTTCGTGCTGGAGGGTTGCGACTCGGAAATGTATACACTAGCATCAAAGAAACATATGCTTATTCCATTCATCATGAAGGATCATATTATTTTGCTCAGCCTGGTAAGGGACCAAAATGGATAGATAGAGCGAGCGATGGAGAGATTGCAAAAGAAACGCATAGACTAATATGGAAGAAACTTGATTCATGTACGTATAAACGAATTATCATGTGTGTTCCTTAGTGAACACTTCCTAAATGTGGTAGGGAAGGTGATGCTAAATTGCATGATAGAGTGAACTTTTTACATGAGTTTCTGAATATAAGTAACTTGAAGCTTTCGCCTACACTGGCTGTGAATTTGCTGATTCGCAAACAGCGTTCAGTCATATCCTCCCTAGTTCCACATGGCAGGTGCGGTGCTCTTTGGGGACTTCTCTGACTGACCCACCCGTCGAAACTCCCCTCCCCTCCCCTCTCTTTCTCCTTGCCCCTACACCAGTCACATCACAACACAAACAAGGGCCCTCATGCTCAGGCGGGCTGTGCATCCTCACGCACACAACCACCCTGCAGCTGCAGCAGCCAATGCGTGGCCCTGCCACTGGCGGAACATAGGGTTACCGCAGCACTCGCTATAGGCTTGCACTATAGGCTTACTTGCTTCAGACTCGCTATCTCACTATCCTGCGCTGTCAACACCCCCCCGCAAGTTCCTAACAGGGACTTGTTTCTTGATGCTTAGCTGTTGTTTATCTGTCACTGATCGACGTGAACTGCTCGTTGCAGCGGGTGCACAGGCTCCTTTTTCCGTGGTTTCCGATCTTGGATGCAATGGAAATTGTCCGAACCGTTGATCGCGCGGGAACGAACGAGCTCAAGAACCGCGTGGCGGAATCGCTAAAGATTATCACTAAGGCGCTCGCCGTATACGGGTACGAAGCGGAGCGAGCTATGCCAAAGCCCTAGGGCCGTTATCATGCCAACGAGCTACCTCCACCCGCTTTGTCTCTTCTGGACACCGTACACGCCTTTTGACCCTTGTGATGTATCCATTTCGTTAATTCCGTGATTCTACTTCAACTTCCTGGTGTCGCGCTGTATCTGACTGTGCTTGTGCTCCGCAGGCTGCGGGAAGTTGCTTTCAGCTTCAATGGCGGAAAGGATTCCACGGTGAGCTTTCTTACGCCAGCGGGAGGTACTTCTGAATTACTGAGAGACCACAACACCACTGCCCGGCCGTTAATGTTGTCAGAGAAAGCTCATTATAATAGCGAGGTTTGCGTCAGAAAATGTGCACGGAAGTGGATGTGATTAGGTTACGGGGAGAGGAGGGTACGGGGTTAAGTGTGAGGAAGATGACGATGAACATATGCTCCAATTTCCCGCTTTACCTAGCTTCCTCCACACCAACCCTTCGTCTTGCCCTCACATCTCAACACCACTCACTCCGACAATCCATTTCCCCTTCCTCTTTTCTCCATCTCCCTTCACCTCCCTACTTCCTCGTTCCCCTTCTTGAGAAACCAGGTAATTCTGCACCTGCTGCGCGCGGCGCTGGTGGCGGCGCGCGCCAAGGGTGTGGACCTGCGGGACTCGACGTGCGCGGACGAGGCGGGCGAGGGGGACTGCGACGACGGCGCGGACCTCCCCGGGTGGCTCGTGGAGGGGTTGGCGGGAAGCATGGACCACCGCGGATGCCCCTCCGAAGGGTGCGAGCACGGATGCCGCGGGGGAGGCGGAGGCGGAGAAGGGGAAGCCGGCGGGGAGCAAGCGGGGGGCGGAGGAGGTGGAGGGGAATGGGCGGCGGAGAAGAAGAGCGAGACGGAGAACGGCGTGGGAGAGAAGGCGAGTTCGGACGAGATGGCGGGGCTGTGCGCGATTTATTTCAGGGATAAGGACGCGTTTCCGTCCATGGACGCGTTCACCATTGAGATGTCGCAACGGTGAGACGACGCTCACTGCTGGATCGCCATGCTTTTCTTCTTCTTCTTCTTTCTCTTTGAGGGGGGAGAGGGGGCAGGGGTTGGGGGGAAAGGGGGGGGGGGGGGGGGGAGGCAGGGGAAGAGGAAGGGGGATGGTATGGTATGACGTGGGACGGTGTGATGGGGATGATGTGACGTGGGATGAAGGTGCGTTCATGTGCCTAGAGCTGGAGCGGTGGGTCTGTTTGTAGGCTCTTGATGGTGAGAGGATGGCGGTGGTTAGGGGATGCGATTTCCGACCTCCTGATTTTATCTCCCAAGAGTCCTCGTTCTTCCTATCCGTCCTTTATCCTCCTTTACTGCGTCTCTTTTGCAAACAGAATAAAATCTCTCCCTCCCCTTCCCCTTCCCCTTCCCCCCCCCTTCCCCCACCCACCCGGCCCCTGTAAGCTTTATAACACCAAGCACCACCCATGCGTTCATACTCCATCCCGGCATGTGCTGAACCCCACCTCCTCTCCCTCCCCACCCCCTCAACCCCCCACACCCCACACACACATACACACATGTGCCATGGTGGCGTGCAAGGCAGGTACGGGTTGGACCTGATAGTGACGGACGATGACTTCAAGGCGGGCCTGACAGCGCTGAAGAAGCAGCGCCCCGTGCAGGCCATCTTCCTTGGCATCCGCTCCATCGACCCCAATGGGGTCAGTTCCTCTCTCTCTCTCTCTCTCTCTCTCTCTCTCTCTCTCTCTCTCTCTCTCTCTCCCCCTCTCCCTCGCTCGCTCTCTTCCTCTCCCTCGCTCACTCGTTCCTCTCCCTCACTCACTTTCTCCTCGCACTCACTCTTTCTCGTTCTCCCGTTGCTCTCTCTCCCCCTGGCCCCGCCTCCTCTATCGCCTACGCCTCGCTCTTAACAATCCACACCCATTGCAAGCAATATCCATCCCTGCGTTTCCCCGATTTCCCTGTTGTCGTTAACCACTTTTCCTCTTGAACCCCCCCTCCCCTCCTTGCCCACCTGTCTTGCCCTGTATTTCTTTCCCTCCCCCTGCCTCCGCCTCTCCTCCTTCCCCCTCCCCACTCTCCCCCCTCCCCTTCTTTCCCTACTCCTCATCGGGAGCAGAAGAACCAAGCAGTCTTCTCTCACAGCTCGCCTGGCTGGCCTGATTTCGTACGAGTCAATGTCATTCTGCATTGGTCGTACAGGTGCCTCACACCCTGCCTTCCCTCTCTTTCCGTAGCTCCCTCCATTTCCCCCCTCCGTATCCGCCCTGCCCATGCCCCCGCTTTCTCTCGTCCACTCTCCCTTTGCCAGCTCTTTTTTGGCCCCTGCCTTCTCCTGCCTCTATTTTCTTCCCTTCCTTTTATCTCTCCCCGTTGTTCCTATTCTTGCTACTGTCCCCATTGCTTTTGACCACAGTGATACTTATCGGTCTTGTTTAACTTCGTCTGATGCGTTTGTTTCTGATGTCCCCATTTCTCTCCCTGTGTGCATGGCATGGCAGGGATGTGTGGGAGTTCCTTCTTGTCACCAAGGTGCCGTACTGCCATCTGTACGACGAAGGGTCAGTATCCATATCTTCCCCATCTCGCTTGGCTCTTCTTCCCCCTCTTCCCCGCTTCCCCTTCCTCTCTCCCCTCTCCCTGACCCTCTCATCACAGTCACACTGTCTCTCCCCCCTGCCATTCCTATCCGCCCTGCCTTCATCTGGCCTTTGCTTCCAGCACCAACGTTCTCGTGCCTTTTCGTTAAATATTTTCTTCCTACTTTCCCCCCCACCTCAACTTGCATTGCGTCCCAACAAAGTAATCCTTTTGGCTCCGCACCGTGCCACTTGCCCATCCGCCCACCCGACCACCCATCCCCCCAGCTTCACATCGCTTGGCAGTGTCCACGACACCGAGCCCAACCGCGCTCTACTCCTCCCAAACCTTCGCCACTGCCTCAAGACCGGCCGAACCTGTGTGTCCGTCCCTCCAGTGGACCCCTCCTGGCCGCCCCCCTCTCCCTCGGCCCTCTGGTCTTTCTCCACGCCCTACTTCCGCAGCTCCAGTTGCCGCATGACCCCTGACCTGCACGCCTCTCTCTGTGTAGCTCAAATGCTGCTCCCCACTCGCACCGCCCCCTTTGGCCGCGGCCCTCCTCCCTGCCCCGTGCACCCCATTTGCCACCTGGCGAGAGTGGCGACGGATAACGGCGTGGATGTGCATGCTCTGTTAGAGGGAGGAGCAGAGGAAGGTTCCGTTTTGGAGGATGAAGGGAAGGGAGTTGCTGCTGCTGCAGCGGCTGCGGCCGTGGCGGCGGGAGGGAGGAGGGAGGGGGTGAAGCCTGCAGGGGATAGGTTCCTGCCTGCGTATTTCCTGCTGGATGAGAGGCTGGAGCGGGCAGGTAGGAAGAAAAAGAAGAAGGATGCGCCTGTGCCTGAAGTGGCGGAGGCAGGAGCAGAGGGGGGAGCAGCAATGGAGGAGGAGCAGGAGGAAGAGGAGCCAGCGCAGTACGAGCCTGTGGATGGGGATGTGGTGGAGGATGGGCTAGGCGTGATTCATGAAGACGTGGGGAGAGAGGGGTGGGGTGATGAGCAGGACGGGGAGGATTCGCTAAGAGTAGGGGCTGTGAACGGGGTGGCAGTGAATGGGAGTGAAGGGGAGGGCAGAGGAGGGCAAAGTCTGCTGCAAGAGGGAGTGGTGGATTCGCCAGGTGGGGTTGGTGGTGGTGGTGGTGGTGGTGGTGGTGGTGGTGATGGTGGTGGTGGGACTGCTGGGACTACTGCAGTGGGTTCGCCCAGGCCTGGCAAGCTCAGTCTTAACGTGCAGATTTCGGACAGTGCTTTGGCTTCTTCGCGGCCTTAACGTGCAGATTTCGGACAGTGCTTTGAAACGGGAAGTGTTAGTGTGTACGGCCAGAAACAAGCAGCAGGGGCAGGTTGCTGTGCTAGCTGGTCAGCCAGCCAGCTATCCTGCCAGCCATCCTGCCGTCCATCCTGCCATCCATCCTGCCGTCCATCCTGCCGTCCATCCTGCCATCCATCCTGCCGTCCATCCTGCCGTCCATCCTGTCGTCCATCCAGTCTGCCAGCCAGCGAAATCGCCTGGCAGCCAGCCAGCCAGCAAGCTGAGCGGAGGGCACTTGTGGATGTGGATCGTTCATGTTTCCAGGTTGCTGGTGTTGAAGTATATTGGGAGTGTTTGCAGTATTAAGTGCCTCTCAGGGGAATAGTTTTGTTTGGTGATTTGGCCATGTTTAAATGAAAGTGCTGTGTTTTTCCACTTGTTTCAATTCCTTAGTACCGTATCACGTCTAATAACTCGTGCAATTGAAGCAGCAGTGTAGCCGTTTAGCCTTGACAGCTGTTCTCTGGTCGCATCTTCCTGTGGCCTTCGGTCTGCGCTGTCGCGTGAGGTCATCCCTCCCTTCCCCCTCAAATGCGTCTTTCACCCCAACAGATTTCTTGCACTAGTCGGGTAAAAGTTTTCTACAGCATCACCGAACAGCTCACGCACACAGCTTGTCGAAGGTATAGAACATCGGGTTCTGCTCTTGCTTGCGGTCGACTTCTTACCCTAACTAGTAATCTCCCACCAGTCTTCGAGTTTTATCGTTTTTTTTTCTTCCACGCTACATGGGGGTCTATACCGATGAAGACGCGTCGTTGCTCGCGAACGCAGCAGTCGGTTATCCAGCCGCTGTCGCCGCCGCTGCGGGAGTCGCAGGAGGAGCGACTTACGTTCCGCTTCCGGATGGGAAGCAGCAGCAGCATACAGAAGTATCCATCGTGCCAGTGTATCGCGTCTCGGCGGTAACGGCTGCACAGGCGCAGGCTTCCGGGTTACCACCAGCGGGATTCACGTCGCGCGGGTCGCTGTGCTTCGTGAGCGGCACGCCGTACGAGGACGGCGTCATCCCCCCTAACGCCATCTTCTCGCACCCCAACGGCCGGCAGCTTCGCGGAACGTTCTTCGGGGATACGCCAGCGCCGTTCACGTGCCCGTGCTGCGGGTTCTCGGGGCTCACTGATGTCCGGTAAGCGGCGGTAGTGGCGATGGCGGTTGTGGTGGCGGTGGCGGTTGCGATGGTGACAGCGGTGGTGGTGGTGATGATGTCGTGTGTGCCATTAGTGCTATGCAAGGGGATTCTTCGTTTCGGGGCCTTTTGCGGTGCTTTCTACCCCATTATGCACTCATACGCAGTCATTTTTCCTCCTCGTAACGTCATCCTGTTTAGGTAAACTCAAAGCCAGACCTACGGAATTTTCTTAACACTTCTGTTCTCCACCTGCGTGTCGTGTCCTGTGCTGCCCCGTCCCTGCCTGTGCGATCCCTCTGTTCCAACAGCTCGTCTCTGAGTGCAGCTGCCGTAGTGGCAGCAGCGGTGACAATCGTTGGAGTGTGTTTCCTTACGCCCGGTAGCTGCATGTGGCATAAGAAACACTTCTGCCCTTGCTGCCAGAACAAGGTAGGCTGTGCCTTACTCCTGCTGCTGCCACCAAAGAAGAGTGTGTAGATGGACGCATAATGTTTTGTTCATTGCCTCTCCGTGGTTCCTAAGCTTCACTTTGGGTACCTTCATCCATGTGCAACATTCTCCATGTCCCATGTTACGCATTCCCTCGATCGTGTTTCTCTATTACTCATTGCCGCAAACATCATGATTATGTTGCTGCATGTGCATGCTGCCAGGTGGGTGAGCACCAAAAGGACGACATGTTTCTTCTTGCCGACCCCGTTAACTGGCATCGCGCATCCTTCGCCCTCCCACTCTAGGCCTCTCCTCCACTCCTTCCTTTCCACTCGAAGCCCCGTCCACGCCATGCGCCCACTGAGCCCTTCCCCGTCACTCTCGCTTCCGTCCTGCACCTGCTGTTCCACCACACGATTAGAAACCATTCCTCCCAACTTTGTTCTACGTGCCATAAGATAGAAACACTCATAGGTAAGCAGAAGTTATATATGGCTGGGTTGGCATGATTGCATCCCTAAACTTGATAAGGATGGGGCATACTGATTAGTGAAGGGTTCGTTTGATGTGGTTTAGTACTGTAAATTGTGTTTAATGCGGTTTTTACCCCTTCTACTATTCTAAATACACCCTAGTACCGTATGAGCAGGGGCAGCAAGATTAACAGCAAATAAAAATAAACATGTTTTTAAGTTCACACTTTTCATATGAGTACACTCACAAGCCCGCGTGGCCATGGTTAAGGCATCTGACTTCTAATCAGGTGATTGTGGGTTCGAGTCCCATCGTGGGTGCCTCAGCAGGCACTGCAAATAATGTTTTGGCCCATACGATGCGTGTAGATATACGTTGGGTGGTGGTTGCAAATTCCCAGCAATCACAAGCGAATGTCCTCCATATAGACAAGCATTTTTCTTATGAAACATTTTTGCTAGTTGTAATCGGAAGTAGTGGCACGTGGCTACTTATTCTTTAAATAAAGGCTCAGATAAACTTGATGTGCCCGCGTGGCCTAATGGATAAGGCATCTGACTTCTAATCAGGTGATTGTGGGTTCGAGTCCCACCGTGGGTGTCTACCCTTTTGCGTCGAGTTCTATTTTCCCCCTTTTGCGTCGAGTTCTATTTTCCACTTTAGCTCCATCCCCTCTTCCCTCTCTGTCGTGCCCGCCCCAATATCTGTTTCGTCACCAGGATCCCTCACTGACACTCACGTTGCGTGTCAAATCCAACTTTCATTGCCGTCTCGTTGCTCTTCCATTCGCCCTGATCTCCAAGTTTCCTTGCCTCTCGCTCGCCCTCTTGTCGCGATGGCGCCAACAGCGGGAGCCGGGACTGCTAAGGTGCGCACGTATCCCTCCTTATTATACTGTTCGTCCTCGCGCCGTTCGTCTCGACTCCCTCTCCATTATCTCCGTCCCGCCTCTATTCTCGGCCTCCACTCGCCGTCTCCCTCTCTTTCCGCCATCGAATTCGGTTTCTCGCCTTCTTTCGTCGTGCCCCTGCTTGTCTTTCATCGCTCCCCAATCGCCAACCTTTTTTAGGCGCCCGCTGCCGCTTCTTGATTCGACCCGCTACCCAATCGCCGACTGCTCGTTCTCAAATTTTCCACCAACCCTGCATGGCTTCGCTGGTTTCGCAATTTGGCATGGAATGACGCGGCATGGCGTGGCATGGCGTGGCACGGCATGTGAGGGTGGCAACGGCGAGCGAGCGAGAGCAGATGCTGAGTAAGCTGGAGGCGAGCGTGAAGGCAGGCAACTTCTACGAAGCACAGCAGCTCTACAAGAGCGTCAGCGCCAGGTTAGGTCAAATCAAACCTCTCAACCCAACCCAACCCAACCCACCCACCATCATCCATCATTCCATGCACCTTGCTTCCCTTCCCTCTCCTTCCCTTTCCTTCCCCGCCAGTGCCCCCCATCCTTCCTTGCCCTCCCCTCCCATCCCCCTCCCATCCTCCTCCCATCCCCCTCCCATCCCCCTCCGATCCTCCTCCCATCCTCCTCCCATCCCCCTCCCATCCCCCTCCCATCCTCCTCCCATCCCCCTCCCATCCCCCTCCCATCCCCCTCCCATCCCCCTCCCATCCCCCTCCCATCCCCCGCTCATCCCCCCCTCCCATCCCCCGCTCATCCCCCCCTCCCATCCCCCGCTCATCCCCCCCTCCCATCCCCCGCTCATCCCCCCCTCCCATCCCCCGCTCATCCCCCCTCTCCCATCCCCCGCCCATCCCCCTCCCATCCCCCTCCCATCCCCCGCCCATCCCCCTCCCATCCCCCTCCCATCCCCCGCTCATTCCCCTGCCATTCCCCTCACATTGCCCCCTAGTTGTAACCTTTCCTCCTAGTGCACGCGGATCAGTCACCCACCACCTCCCATTCCACTCCGCCATTGCCTGCTGCTACTGCTGCCCCAGCAGCAGCATCACCATAACACCCACCACACCCTCCCCTCCTCCTCCCCACCTCCTCCACCCTGGCCCCTTCCCCACGGCTCTCCCCACCCGTCGTTCGTTCCACACCCCCCTTCTCATGGCCATTCGCCTCTTCTCGTTCAGGATCCGCCTCCCAGGTTCCTGAGCCGGGTGGGGTGCGACTTTTGAGACGTCTCAAAAGTCCACCCCCGCTTCCTTTCTCATGGCCATTCTCCTCTTCTCGTCAGAATCCGCCTCCCAGGTATCTGAGTCGGGGGGGTGCGCGGGCAGAGGATACAGTGGAGTTGCTGCAGAGCGGGGCGTGCGTGCAGCTGCAGCAGAGGCATCACCATAACACCCACCGCACCCTCTCCCTTCCTCCGCCCTTACCTCCCCACCAGGTACCTCAGTAAAGGGGGTGCACGGGCAGAGGACGCGGTGGAGTTGCTGCAGAGCGGTGCGAGCGTGCAGCTGCAGCAGCGGCAGGTGACGTGTGGCACGGAGCTAGCTCTTCTGCTCGTGGACGCTCTGTCCGCAACGCACACCGCGCACTCGCAAGGCACTGTGGGTGAGTAAGGCTGTGGGGTTAAGGGGGGATGGCAGGATGGGGTGATGAGGTGTTGGGAGGATGGTAGGATGGGGTGATGGGAGCATGGGGTGATGGGGTGACGGGTGTTGGGAAGAATGCTAGGCTCACAGGCTCTAGCTATGGCACTGTCTTTTCCTGCTCCCGCCACCCACCACCGCTATGCTATTTCCTCTCTCTTTCTCTCCACACGCACACGCACACACATTCTTCTTGGCTCACTTCCTCCTTATCACCTGCTCCTCCTCTCGCCTGTCCTCTACACCAACAGAGCGTCTACTGGCCATTAACGACGCCTTCAAGCCGTTGCTCTCACACCAAACCGGCTCGCCCGCTGCTGCTGCGAGTGAGAGCAGGGAGCAATCTGCAGCGCCGGAGGCAGCCACGTCTGCTGCTGCTGCTGAATATGAATCACTGTCTGCGTTTGAAGGCTGCTTGTCCTTCCTCAAAGCCGCCATTCGGTCTGTATTACCGCCCCTCTCATGGTAGCTCACGCACTCACCCGTTCACCTTGTCCCCTTGCAGTCCCACCAGCAGTCACACCACCAGTCCCACCAGCACTCACACCAGCACCCACGGCGCTCTTCGATTTCCCTACCCGCCCCTCCTCCCCCCCGCTTGCTTTCCACAGGTGGTCTCTGAAGGCACAGGGAGCACCAAGGCATGGAGCACCAGAGCTGCACGATGCACTGGCCGTGCTGCTGTGGACGCATGGTGCCACCCAGGTGCGCTGCTGTGATGCTGCTGCTGTGATGCTGTGATGCTGCTGCTGTGCTGCTGTGATGCTGCTGCTGTGCTGCTGTGATGCTGCTGCTGTGCTGCTGTGATGCTGCTGCTGTGCTGCTGTGATGCTGCTGCTGTGCTGCTGTGATGCTGCTGCTGTGATGCTGTGATGCTGCTGCTGTGCTGCTGTGATGCTGCTGCTGTGCTGCTGTGATGCTGCTGCTGTGCTGCTGTGATGCTGCTGCTGTGCTGCTGTGATGCTGCTGCTGTGCTGCTGTGATGCTGCTGCTGTGCTGCTGTGATGCTGCTGCTGTGCTGCTGTGATGCTGCTGCTGTGCTGCTGTGATGCTGCTGCTGTGCTGCTGTGATGCTGCTGCTGTGCTGCTGTGATGCTGCTGCTGTGCTGCTGTGATGCTGCTGCTGTGCTGCTGTGATGCTGCTGCTGTGCTGCTGTGATGCTGCTGCTGTGCTGCTGTGATGCTGCTGCTGTGCTGCTGTGATGCTGCTGCTGTGCTGCTGTGATGCTGCTGCTGTGCTGCTGTGATGCTGCTGCTGTGCTGCTGTGATGCTGCTGCTGTGCTGCTGTGATGCTGCTGCTGTGCTGCTGTGATGCTGCTGCTGTGCTGCTGTGATGCTGCTGCTGTGCTGCTGTGATGCTGCTGCTGTGCTGCTGTGATGCTGCTGCTGTGCTGCTGTGATGCTGCTGCTGTGCTGCTGTGATGCTGCTGCTGTGCTGCTGTGATGCTGCTGCTGTGCTGCTGTGATGCTGCTGCTGTGCTGCTGTGATGCTGCTGCTGTGCTGCTGTGATGCTGCTGCTGTGCTGCTGTGATGCTGCTGCTGTGATGCTGTGATGCTGCTGCTGTGCTGCTGTGATGCTGCTGCTGTGCTGCTGTGATGCTGCTGCTGTGCTGCTGTGATGCTGCTGCTGTGCTGCTGTGATGCTGCTGCTGTGCTGCTGTGATGCTGCTGCTGTGCTGCTGTGATGCTGCTGCTGTGCTGCTGTGATGCTGCTGCTGTGCTGCTGTGATGCTGCTGCTGTGCTGCTGTGATGCTGCTGCTGTGCTGCTGTGATGCTGCTGCTGTGCTGCTGTGATGCTGCTGCTGTGCTGCTGTGATGCTGCTGCTGTGCTGCTGTGATGCTGCTGCTGTGCTGCTGTGATGCTGCTGCTGTGCTGCTGTGATGCTGCTGCTGTGCTGCTGTGATGCTGCTGCTGTGCTGCTGTGATGCTGCTGCTGTGCTGCTGTGATGCTGCTGCTGTGCTGCTGTGATGCTGCTGCTGTGCTGCTGTGATGCTGCTGCTGTGCTGCTGTGATGCTGCTGCTGTGCTGCTGTGATGCTGCTGCTGTGCTGCTGTGATGCTGCTGCTGTGCTGCTGTGATGCTGCTGCTGTGCTGCTGTGATGCTGCTGCTGTGCTGCTGTGATGCTGCTGCTGTGCTGCTGTGATGCTGCTGCTGTGCTGCTGTGATGCTGCTGCTGTGCTGCTGTGATGCTGCTGCTGTGCTGCTGTGATGCTGCTGCTGTGCTGCTGTGATGCTGCTGCTGTGCTGCTGTGATGCTGCTGCTGTGCTGCTGTGATGCTGCTGCTGTGCTGCTGTGATGCTGCTGCTGTGCTGCTGTGATGCTGCTGCTGTGCTGCTGTGATGCTGCTGCTGTGCTGCTGTGATGCTGCTGCTGTGCTGCTGTGATGCTGCTGCTGTGCTGCTGTGATGCTGCTGCTGTGCTGCTGTGCTGTGTGTTGCTGCCCCTGTTGCAGCGGGAGCAGTGCAAATGGCGGCTGTTGGCGCAGCACAGGGGTGACTGAGTGGTTCATGGGTCGTGTGGCTATTCCTTGCTCCACTTGGTCCACGCGGGCGCCTTGGTCCACGCGCGTGACTTGGTCCACGCGCGTGACTTGGTCCACGCGCGCGCCCTGGTCCACACGCGCGCCGTGGTCCGCGCGCGCGCCGTGGTCCACGCGCGCGCCTTGGTCCCCGCGCGCGTGCGCGCGCCCTGGTCCGCGCGCGCGCCCTGGTCCGCGCGCGCGCCCTGGTCCGCGCGCGCGCCCTGGTCCGCGCGCGCGCCCTGGTCCGCGCGCGCGCCTTGGTCCGCGCGCGCGCCTTGGTCCCCGCGCGCGTGCGCGCGCCCTGGTCCGCGCGCGCGCCCTGGTCCGCGCGCGCGCCTTGGTCCCCTCGCGCGCCCTGGTCCGCGCGCGCGCCCTGGTCCGCGCGCGCGCCCTGGTCCGCGCGCGCGCCCTGGTCCGCGCGCGCGCCCTGGTCCCCGCGCGCGACCTGGTCCGAATGGGCGACCTGGTCCGAGTGCGCGACCTGGTCCGCGCGCGCGACCTGGTCCAAGAGGGCGACCGGGTCCAAGAGGGCGATCTGGTCCGAGTAAGTGACCTGGTCCCAGTGAGCGACCTGGTCCAAGTGAGCGACCTGGTCCAAGTGAGCGACCTGGTCCAAGTGAGCGACCTGGTCCAAGTGAGCGACCCCAGACTATGGTCTACACCGACCACTGCGTTACAGCCTTCAAGGCGTGGATGTGTTTCCTGGAAGGAGCCAAGACTATGGTCTACACCGACCACTGCAGTCTCAAATACCTCGAGTCCCAGCCTACGCTCTCAGGACGACAGGTGCGGTGGATGGAGTTCCTCAAGATACATTTCCATTACGACATCGTCTACAAGCCGGGGTTACACAACAAGGTAGACGAACTGAGCCGACCCAAGCATGTAGCAGGGATCCAGCTCGACAGGATGAACCCCTTGCTCAAGGGGCAAACACCCGCATAGAGTCTGCTCATGCATCCTACCTCCACATCACACACCCTTACTTCTCCACCCCTTTCTTTCTCCCCCTGACCCACTTTCCTCCTCTCTCCACCTCGCATTCTCACCCTCCTTCTTCCACACATGTGTACGCGTGCCACCAGGATCTAGAGGCAGCCAGCCGGCACTTCGTGCTGGGCCGCGACACTAAGGCGTTTAGCTCAGTTCTCTGCCAAGTCATGCAGGAGGTGAGTCACTTGCACTTGCACCCTTCCCTTCCTCGTCCCTTCCTGCCCCCCTCTCTGTCTCTCTCTTCTGCTCGCACGTACAACGAAGCACGCACAGTCAGCCGCCCCCGGTCTCCCAACACCCTACCTTTAGCCTTCTAGTCTAGTAATGCATGTCTTCACTTCTCTGTTCCCACCCCTTCTTACAAACTCCCGCACTCTCTGTACTCGACGTCTCCCTCTCCGTTTCGTTTCCTTTGGGCCCGCCTTGTCTCGCCTCACCATCTCCTGTCTCCGTTCTCGCTTTTCCCTCGATTCGCCCTCGTCCTTCCCTCGATTCGCCCTCGTCCTTCTTTATCCTCTCTCGATGCCCATTGCCCATGCCAGGGCTTCCCAGACGAGGTGGATCTTGTGCTCGCCAGAGCCGTGCTGCAGTACGTGCTTTCGTTTCCTTTCCTCCCAAGCGCATTCCACCGCTGTCCACCGAATTCCGCTTGTTCACCTTGTTTAGTATCGCCGGATAATGTCGCCGTTTAAAAATTGCTACGTCAAGCACCGAGCCACACCACAGAGCAGCAAGCCTCAGTGCATGAGTTTGACGTCCATGCTGGCTGGCTCGGATGTATGTGACACACGTGTCCACGGCCCGGCACTGCATGGCATGGCATGGCATGGTATTTCACGGCACGTCTTTCCACGGCATGGCATGGGTGGCAGGTACCTGGCAGTGGGCAACATAAAGGGAGCCAACGAGCTGATGGACGATATAACAGCACGTGGAGCAGCAGGCACCGCACCAGCTCTACCCGACTCCCCTCTCATCCACTTCACCCGCTTCCTGCTGCTCACGTGCGCTCCTTACAGCCCTCACCCCCCCCACCCCTCTCTCACCCTCCCTCTCTGCTTTGCATACAAACTTTCCAACTTTACCTGCTTACTCCATCTCCTTGACCCGCTCCGACCCCCATCTTTTATTCGTCTATCCCCCATTCCCCATACCACCTTCAACCCTTCTTGTTCGTGCCCCTCCTCCTCCCCCTTTTTCTCCCCCCCTCCCTCTCCCCCTTTCACCACCTTCACCCCTACACACCCTTACACACCCCTACATACCCCTTACCCCCTCCTCCCCTTGCGCCTGCCTGTGCAGTGTGGAGCGGGATGCGCTGCCTCTCTTCCTGCTGCTGCTTTTGAGACGCCTCAAAAGTCCCCAACCCCCCGTTACCCCCTTCCCCCCCCCCTGCAACGGTCTGTGCAGTGTGGAGCGGGATGCGCTGCCTCTCTTCCTGCTGCTGCGCAAGGTGTATGCCCCCAGCATCCGCCGAGACCCGCAGTTTCACTTGGTAAGCACCTCGCAGTCTAAGCACCTCGCAGCCTATGCATTTCGCTGCCTAAGCCCCCTTGCCCCATCACCCACACACTGCTACACTACTTCCTCTTCCTTCGCTCCACGTCCCCTCGCCTGAGATCCACTTCCCCTCCCTGGCCCCTCACCGCCCCATCACCGCCCCTTCACCCTCACCTTCCCCTCGCAGGCCCCTCAGCCACGCACCGTCCACGTCCCTCCCATACAGAGCTCTCCCACCACATACTGTCTCTGAAGAGTGTCCCAACCTATACATGTCTCTGAACCTTCATTCATTCATGAAATTTCTCCAAAGACGACTGTTTCTCACTTCTCCATTGCTCCTCGTTTTTGCCTCTTCGTCTTTCCACCTCCCGTGCCCGATTCCATCCATCCCCATACCACCAGTACCCACCACCCAGTACCCCGCATACCCCCCATCCCCCCTATTCACCACCAGTACCTGGACGAGATAGCCCACCGCTACTACAAGGTGGCGCGGCCCTCAGGGGGAGGGGACTTCATGGGGGGGCTGCTGCAGGTGAGGAGATGCCAGGGGGGAGGGTAGGCGAGAGGAAGGGGAGAGGGGAGTGGAGAGATAGTGCAGCGCTGTTACAAGGTGGCGCGGCAAAGTTTATGCCATTACTGCAAATTCTGTCTGGCTTGCGTTATGGGGGAGCATATACAGACGTAAAGTTTATGAGGTCTTGGTGTACTTCTAACGCACTCCTCTCGGCTCGGCACCCGCCCTTCACCTTGCCCATCTCTCGCCCGCCCACCACCCACCTGTAGTGAGTCGATTTTTGAGTCGACTCAAAAATCGACTCGCCCGCCCACCACCCACCCATGCTGTTTCTCCTCTGCTGCGTGCCTCCCCTCATCAGATGCTCATGGGCTGATTGCGCCACACATCGAGGAACATCAGCAGCACCTCATCGCACAGCAGATCACAGCACAGCATAGCACCGTACAGCACATGATGCAATATGAAGTGCATGCATTATGCATACACAGGAATACCACAAGCGTGTTTATAGAGAGGCATAGAGCTTGAGTAGCAACATACCATAGGCCCAACCCAAGTGTGGGCCGGGGGGTCATACTGAAGGCCAGTGGTAGTGGTGGTGTGTTTCGACAAGCAACAGTGGACCAGAGTTGCCTTGCTTTACTTTACATGCACAACTCTTCCGTATTTCCTGTCTCGCCAAGTCCCGACTTGAATCTATCGATGTTCAAGAAGAGAGACTTGATTCTCTAGGAACTCTTCCTTATTTTTATTTGATAGTTACTCTTGTAATCGAGCCCATTGTTACTCTCTTTCACTTCCCTTGCGACAGCCTGAAACACGCACATAATCGCAGGAGCGCAGCGCAGGTGAGGGGGTGAACTTTCACTCCCCTTGCGACACCCCTTACGACCCGCTCAAACACGCGCAAAATCGCATTGCATCCATCCGCAATAAAATGAACCCAATGTGAGAAAATTCTCACTCAAACTTCTCAACTCTACTCTTCTTCCTCGTTCACTCCTCTTGCTACACCCTGAACCTCCAGCTCACAACCCAGCAGATGTCTCCTACCATTCTCACTTCGCCGACTTTCGAAGCATCACACGTGTAGCCCCTTAGGTGCGCACTGAGCGCCCTTCTGCCGCGCATCTCGTCAAACGCGTGGTTTCTCAAATGGATTCGTTCAACGAGGGCTCTTCTCCTCGGCAACGCCGCCTCGATCCCGATCCGTTCCCACGTCTGTCAGATGATCTCGTCGCGCACATTCTCGCGCTCGTGGCCTCTAACGGTTTCCGCTTCCACCCCAAGCCGCGCCTTACAACCGCCGCTGCTTCTTCTTGCACCACCACAGCCACCGCCGCCGCGGAGCCTAACGCGGGCGGAGCCGGGGGCGACGGTGCTTCTGCGGAGCGCGATGATGGAATGGCCAGAAACGTGGGGAATGCTGTTAAGAACGGGTCGGCCAACAGCGAGGACGCGGATGCGCATGGCGACGACGCGAGCGAGGACGAGCTGCTGCAAGAGCGCATCGCGCGGGCAGTGAAGAACAAGTGCGCGCGCTTCGTACGCGTTATCCAGCTACCTCGCGCCATAGCTCTCGAGGCCGAAGCGACCGCCGCGAATTACGCTCGAACCATGACACTCCAGATCGAACCCGACAATCCCGACACGCCGTCAGCTGAGCATATCCTCGCCTCCGCCTATCCGCTCCCCCTCTCCGGGACCTCCGCGGACTCCGCGCCCTTCCCGCCTCCGCTTCCGCCTCCGCCTCCCTCTCCGCCTCCGCCGTTCACCGTGTTCCGCCACGCGCTCGTGTGCAAGCGCTGGCTCCGCTTGGCGCGCTTCAGCCTCCCCGCCATCCTCCTGCAAGCCGACCGCCGCCTTTCCACCCAAACCTTCCGCTCCTTCCTCTCCTCCCCACCTCCCCTCCCCCTCACCCTCTCCCCTCCCACCACCCGCTCCGCCTCCGCTGCTTCCCCGTTCTTTCCCCTCCACTCCCCGCTCACCCTGCGTCACCTGCACATCGGCCCATCGGCTCTAGACGCCATAACAGACGAGCTCCTTAACTCCATTGCGACGGGATGCGCTTCCTCCCTCACGCACCTGTCGCTGTATCGCCACATGAACCTGCACTCCTGGGACCAGAATTTCTACGGCTCCGACGACCCAGACGATCCCGACGACGCAGTCGCGAAAGTAACAGAGCCCGCCGTTACCGCCCTTTTCGCCGCCTGCCGCCGCCTGGTCAGCTTGAAACTCGTGCTGCCTATGTGCCTGCCCGAGCTGCCCGCTTCCGTGAGTCTCCTGCAGCGGCTGACGAGGCTGGACGTTTCGTGCGGCCGGGACGATCGCGATTCCAGGCCGCTTCCAGAGCCAGAGGGGGGGTTACCTGAGAGCGTTGGCTCGTTGTCCGCGTTACAGTCGCTTCGCATCCGCGCTGCTTACGCGCGCGCCCTCCCGCCCACCCTCTCCCGCCTCCGCTCCCTCACCTCGCTGAAAGTCGACGGCTGCTTCGACCTCTGGGAGCTGCCCGACGGTCTCGGGCAGCTAAAAAACCTGCGGTACCTGGAGCTGGCGAAGTTAGATTCTTTGGAATCCCTGCCCGACTCCATCGGCCTCTTATCATCCCTCGAAACCCTCCACCTGCGCGGGCTCAGTGTCTCCTCTCTCCCAGACTCCTCCGACCATCTCTCTTCCCTCAAACGCCTCTTCCTCTCCCACCTCGCGCACCTGCGATCGCTCCCTGACAGCATCGGAGAGCTGCCATCGCTGCAAGAACTGACCGTCAAGTTTTGCGCTCGCTTGACTGCTCTCCCGCCCTCGCTCTCCGCCCTCTCCTCCCTCACTGCTCTCACCGTTCAGCACTGCAAGTCTCTCGCCTCGTTGCCGGAGGATATCGGCGACGTTCCCCGCCTCGCCTCTCTTGTTCTCGACCAGCTCCCCGCCCTGGCAGCTATTCCAGACTCACTAGCCCTCCTCTCCTCCCTGACGCACCTGCACGCGGCCAATTGTGAGGTTTTAACATCGCTGCCAGCGTCTTTCGCGGGGATGCACTCGCTCTCTCGCCTGCAGCTTCTCGGGTGTTCTTTGGAATTGCTGCCCGAAGATCTCGGGCAGGTGTCGGCGCTGACGGAGCTGCATCTGAGCGAAGTCGGTTGCGATCTGCCCGATTCGTTCGGGCAGCAGCTGCTGAAGCTGACGCGGCTCACAATTGCTGCTTATTCTGGTGACATACCTCTACCAATTACTCTATCCCACCTTGAGAATTTAACTATCCACAGCTGCGACTTTTTGGCAGCCCTGCCCGAAACTATCGGGCAGCTAACAGCGCTTCGCACGGTAGAAATAGCTGGATGCGAACCGCTGGAAACCCTTCCTGAGTCCTTTTCGCAGCTTCCCCGCCTTGAAAGCCTGACTCTTGGATGGAAGGGCTTGGTGACTAAACGGGATGATGGGAATGTTGTAGAGGCGTCTCCTCTACTTTGCAGGAACTCTAAGTTGCACTAAACGATAGAGCACAGTCTTGGCTTTCCAACAAGCCGTCAAACACGTTAATCGCCCAAGTATACGCCGAGATATTGGCGTTCACGTGATTGCTAGTGCTCTTAGAAGCAAGGATAGACCTCTCTGGAATTTTGGTTCGAATGGACCATGTACAAGAAGATTCAGGATTTCAGTATAAAGCATGCATACAAGGCAGGTCGATTTATAGCAAATGCATTACATCGAACCGCACATGTAACATCACATCGCTACACTCGCGTCGCGAATGCGTCGCGTGTAACATTTCGGTTGGGGTGAAATTCGACCACCGAATTTCACACCGGACACACCGAATTCGCCTTGCACTTGAAGGTTGGAATGTGGTGCCGCCACGTGGCACCGAAGGGTGAGTCTCCCGAAGTCAATCGGTGCCACCCCATCGATCCCTAGTCAAAGGGATCGAAGGCACCGAAGTGCCCTCGGTGGGTTGGGGGCATACCACCGCCCCACCACCGTTTCCTTCCAACACTCCCCCTTGCACCCAAGCCACTAGGTGTTCATACCAACACGCTCACGGCATGCACGGAATGAATCCTTAGGGAGTGGTTTAGTGAGGAAATCCGCGGGTTGCGCCTTGGTGCTTATGTATGTGACCTTGACCTCACCTCTCTCGACCACCTCACGAATGAAGTGATGCTTCACCTCAATGTGCTTGGTACGCCCGTGAAGGACGGCATTGTGAGTGAGGTTTATGGCCGCTTGGTTGTCACAAAAGAGAGGAGTTGGGTCGGCTTGAGGATGCCCAAGCTCCGCTAGAATGCGCCGTAGCCATATTGCCTCCATGGCTCCTCGAGTGAGTGCCATATACTCCGCTTCCGTTGTGCTTAGAGCCACGGTTGGTTGCAACTTGCTTTGCCAACTCACGGCTCCCCCAAGCAAGGTGAAGACGTACCCGCCGGTACTCTTGCGCTTGCTTTGATCACCGGCATAATCCGAGTCGGTGTAGCCCTTAAGCACGATTGGACCGGCTTCATATACGATTCCCAAGTTGGGTGTGCCTTGGAGGTGGCGTAGAACACGTCCTCCCGCACGCACATGCTCGGTATGAGGGTTGCTTACGTCTCGTCCAAGTACCCCGGCGGCGTATGAGAGGTCGGGACGGGTGGAAACGGCGGCATACATGAGTGAGCCGACTAGCGAATGAAACCGCTTCCCTTCGGCTTCGTCGAGGGCGGATTCTTCCTCTCCCGGGAGGCAAGAAAATCCCGTGTCTAGTGGCGTCCCCACCGGGTTGCTATTACCCATGCCGAAGCGCTCCACAACCCCTTTCACATATTTTTCTTGGTGGAGGTGAATGGTCCCGTTCGCGCGGTCGCGGTCGACGTGCATCCCGAGGTAGTACGTCACCGGTCCCAAGTCCCTCATGGCAAACTCCGCCCCTAGCCGTTGCTTGACCTCTCGAATGAGGTCTTTGGAGTCGGAGAAAAGAAGGAGGTCATCGACGTAGAGCAAAAGCACCAATTGCTTCTCCCCCTCCTTCAACACGTACAAAGCGCTATCACACACGCTACGCGCGAAGCCGTGTTGAAGAAGAAAGTCGTCGATCCGCTTGTACCATCCGCGTGGGCTTTGCTTCAAGCCATAGAGGGTACGCTTGAGCTTCCACACCCGACCGCTACCGTCATCGTACCCCGGGGGTTGCCGCATGTAGACTTCTTCCATGAGAAGCCCGTAGAGGAAGGCGGTGCAAACGTCCAATTGTTCCACCTCGAGGTTGAGAGATGCCGCTAGCGCGAGCAACACCCGAAGAGTGGAGGCCTTCGAAACGGGAGCGAAGGTCTCACTATAGTGCTCCCCCTCCCGTTGAGTGTACCCTTGCGCCACAAGCCGCGCCTTGTAGCGTTCGACACCTCCATCGGCTCCCAATTTCTTCCTAAGCACCCACTTGCATCCCACCAAGTAGGCACCCTTCGGCGGGTCGACGAGCTCGAAAACATCGTTCTCCTTGATCGATGCTAACTCCCTCTCCATCGCGTGCTTCCATAGCGGTGCATCCGGGGAAGCCAAAGCCTCCTTGTGAGTGCGTGGGTTATCGTCGCCGATGGTCGCTAGGCAAATCGCCGCACTCTCCTCATCCGACTCCCCAACGGCGACCGTAGCATAGTCGGTTAACCTCGTGTTGGGGCGAGGTGTACGACGCCCGCGAGTCAACGCCAATGGTAGGGAAGAAGGTGCGGAGGAAGTGGCCTCCTCGGTTGGTGGCACCTCCTCGACATCATCATCGCACTCCTCGTTCTCTCCCCCTCCACTTTCGGCTCCCTTCTTCACGTGCGGTGAAACCTCCACCGCTTCATCCTCCTCTCGTGCGGGAAGGACGACGGTGAGTTGCGGCGTTTGTTTCTCCTTTGTCGGGAACTTGTCTTCGTCGAAGATCACATCCCGAGACGTGACGACGCGTTTTTCATCCAAATCCCACACTCGCCATGCACGCTCGTTCGCCGCAATCCCCAAGTAGATCGCCGCACGAGCTTTCGGTTGCAACTTGTGGCGAAGTGGATCCGGTACATGGTAGTAGCAAAGGCACCCAAAGGTGCGTAGGCGGTATAGGTTCGGCTTCGTTCCGGTCCATGCTTCGAACGGAGTCGTTCCCGGTAGCACCTTTGTTGGCACACGATTACGAATCCATGCCGCTAGCGCACTCGCCTCTCCCCACCACTCGTTCCCAAGCTTGGAGTGTTGAAGAAGTGAACGAACGGCCTCCATCAATGTGCGATTGAGCCGCTCTACCGCTCCATTTTGTTGGGGTGTGTAGGGTGTCGTGACGTCGTGCTTAATGCCCTTGCTTTTCATCCATTTTTCAAGCTCGTTGCTCACGAATTCGCCGCCACCGTCGGTGCGAATGCACTTGATCCGCTTCTTGCCGTCGTCGCAAACGTCGAGCGCCCACTCTTGAATCGCCTTGGCCGCATCTCCCTTAGCCTTCAAGAGTCGGGTCCAACTCATCCGCGTCGCGTCGTCGAGCATCACTAAGAGGAACCGCGCTCCTCCCTTTGATGCATGCCGCATCGGTCCACACACGTCCATGTGAACAAGCGCAAGCGGGTCCTTTGCGAGGGGTGAGGTACGGCTACCAAATGGCTTGCGAGCCATTTTTCCTTCGACACACGCCGCGCACACGCCCTTCTCGTCGTTGCCGGCGATCACGTCAAATCCCTTCGCAAGTCCTTTGTTGGCCAACTCTTTGACCGAGTCGTAGTTGGCGTGCGCAAGCCGATTATGCCACATTTTGAGAGTCGCCTTGGAGTCTTGCGCCACGTTGGATGAGGCCGTTGTCGGATGCGTCTTGAGTTGGTAGAGTTGTCCGTTGAGAACGCCTTGCGCGAATTGCTTCCCCTTCCAAAAGAGGTTCATCTTCGCGCCATCGATGGTGACCTTCACGTCTTTCTTTGCGAGTTGAGTGACGGAGAGTAGATTCACCTTCAATCCCGGGACGTGAAGCACGTTCGTGATGTCCACCGGCCCGCCATCGACGATGAGACGCGTACTCCCAACTCCAACCACCGGTAGCGATTTATCGTTCCCGAAGACGACGCGCTTGACGTCTCCCGGAGCACCGACGTTGTTGAGGAGCGACGCCGAGTGCGTCATGTGTTGTGTTGCACCGGTGTCGAGGAACCACGCGTCGTTTGAAGTGTTGATCCCGTCACCGGCCAACAAAACGAGCGACTCCGTTGAATCATCCGCCTCGCCGGATGCTGTGTGCGCGTTGCCCTCTTGGTTCCGCGCCTTCGATGGAATCCAATCGCTCGGCCGCTTCCGACATTCACGCCAAAAGTGCCCCGCTTTGCGACAATAATGACACTTGCTCGAACCGTTCGATGCGTTGACCTTGCCGCGACCGTTTCCACCGGACGACTTCTTTGCCTCACCGTTGCTCCACTTGGACTTCTTTCCGGAGCTCCCTCCGGAGAACATGGCGGTCTCCACGCTCTCGTTAGCGAATTGTCGGCGTCGCGATTCTTCATGGAGAAGCCGACCGACCACCATTTCCTTCGTCCAAGTGTTTTGCACGCTATCGAGTGTCGTAATCACCGTCGACCACTCTTCCGGAAGGCCGCAAAGCAAGGTGAGAATCCAATCCTCCTCCGTGACCGTTCCACCGAGGTCCATGAACGTTTCCCCGAGTTCCTCCACACGAGTCGCATACTCGTGCATCGATTCGCCCGCGCGCAACTTCACCGTGTAGAACGCATTTCGGGCTAGGATCTTGCCGTGGAGAGTCTTGTTCACGTGCATCGTCTCGAGCCGCTTCCATGCTTCACGCGCCGAAGCTTCGAGCTTGATGCACGTGCGCACCGAACTCACGAGGTTGATGCCGATGCGTGAAATCAACGTTGCGAACGCCTTTTGGTCCTTCTTCTTCCATGCCACGATCTCGTCCTCGTTGACCGGCTTTTTCTCCGTTCCGTCGAAGAGACCCCAAAGTCCCCGCTCCATCATGAGCACTTGGAACTTAAATTTCCACGCGGAGTAGTTTTGTCCCGTGAAAATCGGAACCGCCGACGTGTCGAACACCGTCGCGTTTGTCCAGGGTTCGCCGGGATTCGAGACGACACCACCTAAGGAAGTGCCGGAGGTTTCGCTTGACGTCATCATGCTTGCTACAAGTCGCGCACGTAGACTCTACCGACCGGCTCTGATACCACTGTTGTAGAGGCGTCTCCTCTACTTTGCAGGAACTCTAAGTTGCACTAAACGATAGAGCACAGTCTTGGCTTTCCAACAAGCCGTCAAACACGTTAATCGCCCAAGTATACGCCGAGATATTGGCGTTCACGTGATTGCTAGTGCTCTTAGAAGCAAGGATAGACCTCTCTGGAATTTTGGTTCGAATGGACCATGTACAAGAAGATTCAGGATTTCAGTATAAAGCATGCATACAAGGCAGGTCGATTTATAGCAAATGCATTACATCGAACCGCACATGTAACATCACATCGCTACACTCGCGTCGCGAATGCGCCGCGTGTAACATTTCGGTTGGGGTGAAATTCGACCACCGAATTTCACACCGAACACACCGAATTCGCCTTGCACTTGAAGGTTGGAATGTGGTGCCGCCACGTGGCACCGAAGGGTGAGTCTCCCGAAGTCAATCGGTGCCACCCCACCGATCCCTAGTCAAAGGGATCGAAGGCACCGAAGTGCCCTCGGTGGGTTGGGGGCATACCACCGCCCCACCACCGTTTCCTTCCAACAGGGAATCTAGGCCATCAGACCTGCATGTTTGACCCTGTACGTTCAGACGACAATGACGGTGATGATGATGATGATTATTATTATGGGGACGAGGACGCGCCCGAGACAGTGTTCACTCACCTGCCGAGCACCTTCGGGCAGCTCGCGAATTCCTTAACTGCCCTGGAGATCCACGCATGCCATGAGCTTCGCCGGCTGCCCGCATCGTTCACGCAACTAACTCGCCTGCAGCGGCTCTGCATCTCCAACTGTCACTCGCTGGTTGAATTTCCGCTCGGGTGGGGCAACCTTGTGGGCTTGCAGGAGTTAGAGCTATCTCGCTGCAAGCGGCTTTCTGTGCTGCCTCCACTAACCCCCTCTCCTCCTGTTGCTGCTGCTGCTACTGCGGCGGCTGTTGCTGTTGCCGCCTCCGCTGTTTCTGCTGCTGCTGCTTCTGCTTCTGCAGCAGCTGCTGCTGCTGTTTCTGCTTCTGCGGCTGTTTCTGCTGCTGCTTCTGCTTCTGGTGGTGCTAAAGATGCTGCTGCTGTGGCTGCTGCTGTGGCTGCTGCTGCTGCTTCCGCTACTACTGCTGCTGCCGATGCTTCTGCTGCTGCGTCTGCTACTGCTGCTGCCGATGCCGCTGTTGCTGCTGCTTCTGCCTCTGCATCTGCCACTGCTGCTGCTGCTGCTGCCGACGTTTCTGCCATAGGGCATGGCCCCTATTTTGTTGACACAATCACCCCTCCTCAACCTTCAACCCCGCCCTCCTCTCCCCATCCCCTCCCATCCCTCCGCCGCCTCCTCATCCTCAAATGCCCCTCTCTCTCCTCCCTCCCTTCAGGTCTCTATCTCCTCCCCTCCCTCCACCACCTCAAAATCCGTGACTGTGTGAAATTCACCAGGCTCCCGGCCCCCCCCTCGCCCTCGCCCTTCCCATCCACCCTTCAAACCCTAATCCTGTCCAACACACTACAGAACACCAGCGACATGCAGCCAGCCATCTCCCACCTCTCCTCTCTGCAACACTTGCGCATCGAACACATCCCATCTCTCAAAACCGTTCCCATAGCATCCTCTCTGGAGAGCCTTTCTCTCTATGACTTGTCTCTTGTCTCCCCTCTCTCAATACCCAACATCCTCACACTTCAGAAACTGAGAATTCTGACCCTGCACACCCTCCCCTTACTCTCCCCTCTCCCTCCTTCAATCACAGCCCTTCCTCACCTCCAGCGCCTTCATCTCAGCCACATGAAAATTTCCAACTTGCCCGAGGACCTCGGGCAGATGCAAGGGCTGTGCGTGCTAACCATAGACAACGCGCCGAAGCTATCAACGCTCCCGGCCTCCCTCACCCTCCTCACCTCCCTACAGCACCTTATGGTCACCGACTGTGAGATATTTTCCTCTCTACCAGAAGGATTCGGCAATCTTGCCTCTCTCCTCACTCTCACGCTCAACGACCTGCCGCTGCTGCTCAAGCTGCCCGCAGCCGTCTCACACCTGGCTTCGCTACAGGTGCTGGACGTGCAGGAGTGCAAAAATCTCAGCGAGCTGCCCGAGGGGTTGGAGAGTGCGAGGAGTCTGCGGGAGGTGTATCTGGAGAGATGCACCCAATTGGGGGAGTTGCCCGAGCCGCTGCTGGCGCAGGCAGGGAGGATCCAGGTGAATGCAAGAGATTCATGATCACCGTAACAGCTTGAAATGTATTTTCTAGTGGGCTGTTCTGTCTTGGTTGATGTGCACCATATTTACTCAAGTGATACGGTACGGGACGACCTATCAACCAACTCTTGAACTGTTACTATGGCCAAACGTCTGGATTTATGGCTGGCCGGGCATAGCAATGAACCCCTGGGCTGGGCCAAGCTATTGAACGCATGGCCGAGCAATGTACCGGTATCTACCTTCGAGTGCGATGCTAGCTTAAAAAAAATGGAGCAAACCACTTGACACGGATAGGACAGTAGGAGGAGCACAACACCCTCAGGCAGCCATTGCTATGGGGCTCCTTTGCATAATGCAGCAAGGGACAGCTTTATTCCCGATTATTTTACATACATACGCAAGTGAGAAAGCAAAACACTCTCTCTCAAACCTAGCTGATTCCACCTACCGTAGAAAGAAGCATGGCGCCACGCCACAGCGAAATCCCTCTCTTCCATGTCAATCAACCCCACCCCACACCCCTTCCCAACCCATCTCCTCTCCCACATACCAACCAACCAACCGCCCTCTCTCTCTCCACCACAATCCCTTCAAAAACTTCATGTGAGGTGATCTACATGGAGGCAGCATAGCAGAGATGTTTTGAGACGTCTCAAAGCGTAGCAGACGACCCCCGTGGAGAGTACCTACCTACCAGCGGCAACAATATCAATCAATAAGTAACCAGGTAGCCAACTAGGGTCCAATCCACGTGGTGAGCTCCTGGCGCAGGTTCTCCTTCTTGCGGGCGACCTGCGCCCACGAGGGGTAGATGGTGGTGCAGTGGCCGATGGTGCCCACCAGGAAGAACCCGAATGAAGGCTTGGCGCGCAGCACAGCGCGGATTCGCATGATGGACCGCCGCGAGTACGTCTGTATCGCTGCCATCTCCGCTGAAGAGCACTCACTGCCGCTGCTGCTGGTGCTGCTCTTGCTTCTGCTCTTGCTGCTGTCCCTGTCTCCTTCGTTGTCCCGGTCTCTGTCCCTGTCATGGTCGAATCTTGTGATGGTAGCTGTAGCGCCGTGAAGGGCCGTGAAGCTTCTGCTGGTGGCGCCGGTGGTGCTCGTGGTGGGGTTGAAGGGGACGAGTTGCACATGCGTGTCTCCTTCTATCGACCACCGTGGGTGGGGCGATGGCACACCTTGTGGCGTGTGGAAAACAGCAGAAAACTGATCGTATGTTTCTCCGTCTACTAGCCCTGCATTTGCATGTGCGCCAGACGCTGCTGGGAAAGCAGGAGAAGAGAAAGCAGTAGACCGAGCAGTGCGGGTCTGCTCACTGGAAGCTACAGCATCTCCACCCCATGCCTCCGCCTCCTTCTCCTCATCCCCCACCGGACCAAACTCCGCTGCCACCGCCCCCACAGCCCCGGCATCAGCAGCATCAGCAGGAGCGGAGTCAGAGACAGCAGCAGCAGCGGCAGTGGGGGGAGCGCCGGCCTTGAGAAAGAGCTTGTTCATGCAGTGCGTGATGCTGGTGGTAGAGGACTCGTTCTGGCCCTGGTTGGCGATGTCTATGGCGGCAAAGTCCGCCACTGAGTTGACTATGAAGACAGGGCGGCGCACAAAGTAGAGGTTGTTCTGCGGGAAGAAGCACTTCCACACCTGCGTGCCGTACACTGGCATGGTTGAGGGGGGGGCAGGGGGGATAGGAAAGTAGGGGAACGGGGTTCAGGAGAACTGGGTCACTTCTGAGTCGATTCAGAAGTGAAGACCGGGCAGCGCACGAAGTAGAGGTTGTTCTGTGGGAAGAAGCACTTCCACACCTGCGTGGGGCATGTGAGGGGTTATGGCACGGGGCATGCGAAGGGTATAGCTAGCGATTATGAGATGTACGAGAGTGCTGTGCCGTGCAGCGATGCGATGACATGCGATGACGTGTGATATATTGTGATGTCATGCTATGTGACGTCATGTGCAGTGCTGCAATACACACGCACTCTGGCGGCAGGCGGGGTCGACGAAGGGGCGGTGCAGCGCGACAATGGACTTGGCGAGGCTGCGGAAGTACTTCTGCCCCGTCACGTCGTCCGCGTCTGTTGCGCGCCCGCCCGCCCGCCCGCCCGCCCGCCCGCACGCGCGCACGCACGCGCAAGTTGCGCGGAGAAGCAGTTGCGGAGGGCGGACGCAGGGGCGTATGGGGGTGGAACGGGAAGAGGGCGAGGGCAAGGGGGAAGAGAATACTTTTGTGTTTGGGGCATACAGACGTTTGTCTTGGTGATACGGCATAAGGAGATGTCAGAATGAGATCTGGGCGCTCAACGCGCATCGAAGCACAGCACAGCACAGCACAGCACAGCACAGGACAGCACGTACCGAGGAAGAACCCGCCGTCCATGATGCATTTCACGTTGGCCCGCGGCACGGCGGCGCCCACGCGGTTGCACACGGCGCTCACCGCCTGCCCACCCGCGGAGCACCCGCTCAGCACCACCTTGGCGGCCGCCGCCATGCCGCGCCGCGTGGTCAGCTCTGTGGGGAGAAAACGGCGGGGAGGGATAGGTGTGGGCGCGAGGTGGGCGCTGTGTTGCAATGTAACCGTGCCTTGTACGGAACGAGCGAGCGAGCGAGGGAGAGAGAGCGGGCGAGGTAGCGAGCGGGAGAGAGAGCGGGCGGGTGATTTTGGGTGTAACCTTGGAGCTGGAGGGCAATGAAGAACAACGCGGACACAGCATCAAGGGCAGCAGGGCAGGGGAGCATAGCAGCACGGACAAAGCATCGGCACGCACCTTGTAACACGGCGTTGATGATGCGCGAGCCGTGCGAGAAGAGCGTGGTGGTGCGGTTGACGGCGATGCGCTGGCCGCTGCCCGCGAAGCCGCCGCCGTCGCAGTAGAGCACCATGACGGTGTTCCAGTTGAAGAACGCGGGGTTCTCCTGCGCGCTCGCGCTCAGCATTCCGCTGAATTGCGTGCCATACTTGCGCAGCTGCGCGCGAGACGGCGGAGGGGGAGAAGCGGGGCAGGGGAAAGGGGGGAGGTGAGAAAAAAAGGGGGAAAAGGGAAGAAGGGAAGGGGCGACAGGGGGAGAGGGAGTGAGGGGATAAGGAAGGGATGGAGAGCGGAGGTTTGCAAAGGGGAGAGGTTTGCAATCCGCCCCCATTCCGCCCCGATCGTGGTGCGCGCCGTTGCGGCACGGACTGCAAGCGAGATGCGAGCTGTGCATTAGACCACGCCATGCATGCCGAAGAGACTTTTTTTCTAGTGATTCTTGTTGACTCACAAACTAAGTTCTGTGAGTGCCCACTTCACCAGCAGAGGCGATTTTAGAGCCGAATCACAGATCACACATACCGTGGACTCGAACGCGGGGTTAGATGGCGGCACGTAGAAGCGGGTGCTCCCGAGCACGGTGGTTGCGCGGAAGCTGCACCCCGTGACACTGTAGCACCACCCGCCGCCCTGCAGGTAGATCAGCCACTTGTTCGCCCCCGCGCCGTGCCCCTGCCGGTGGTAGAACCCCGGCGGACTGCGCGGGGACGAGAGGGCCGAGGGACGGTGGGGACGGAGGGGAACGGATGGGGAAAGGAGAGAACACAGGGAAGGACGAAAGAGGAGAGCAGGACGATCAGGAAGGAGAGCTGGTGGTGGATAGCTGGCGTGAAATGGCGTGCCTTTGGCGCTTCATGTCGGGCAGACTCACTCTGATACCGTAACACGCGGCTTGATCTAAACCGAGTGTTATTACAGTGCAGCAAAGGAGGCAAAAAGTGGGTGATTTGGTGGGGAGTGGCATCGAGAAGTGGCATATGGTGGTTTGACATGACTTGGCATGGCATGGTATGGTGTCGGGACCGCATGGTGGGGATTTCGAAAGCACCAACCTGCCGTCCAAGCATCGCGCGCCGTATTTACTTGGCGGAAGCAACACCAGACTTGTGGTCGCCGGTCCGCCCCGGGCGCCAGAAGCGCCAGGGAGTGCCGCGACGGAGAAGGGCGCAAGGGACGCGACAAGGGCGAGGGCGAGAAGGGGAAGTGTGGGGTTGATAAGGGGTCTGGAGTAGACGTGATGGTTGCCGCGCAGCGGCATGTGGGGCCGGTACGTCGTGGTGAAAGGTGGCTGGTGGGGCGGCGGGGACTAGTAGGACGGGAGGGGTAAACGAGCAGACGAGGCAATGCAAGGAGGGAGAACGTAGACAGTCGAGCGCGAAGAGGTTTCGCGAGGTGTGGCTGGCGTTGCTTCGTGTTTCGTTGATACTAAATTAATGGCTCTTAGTGGTGGGGAGGGCTCGAGGGGAGCGCATTTGATACTAACTTCCACTGGCTCAACACGAGCGCATCGACGGATGGAGCGTCCGTGTGAACAGACAAAGGACAACGGATTGTGAACGGAAAGAATCCAGAGAGGGGCAACAGAGCTGCCTCCACAAAGGTTGCGATAAAGATACTTGAAAGAAGAAGGGAGAGGTGGGGCACAAGTGGTGCACCGAACTAGCAACCAGGTTTGGATAGAAACTATGGCGGATTCTCGTCGGACGTTGAGAATATGGTGAACTTGAGGAGGGTGAACCTTAAATGTATCGGCGGCGTGAGCAGAGCTTTCTTGCGCTGCAAGACGCAGCTGTGTCGGGCCCAACCCAAGAGACGATGGGCTTAGAATGGCTCGGCCAGAAACAGTGGTCGGTGAGTTGGTAGGAACGGCGGTTGCGATGCACAGTGAAGAGTCTCTACGCCGGGATTGGCGGTTGGGGCGGGCGCTTCTTCTGCTGCAAGGACTTGCACGTCCGAAGAGAGTTGTGTGGTCAAACGTAGGGGCCGTGTGAGAAGGAGAGTGCAGATGAGTGAGATTTGGTTAGCGACCCGTGGATTGCGTTGCGATTGCGAGCGATGTGCAGTGCAGGTTGATAGCGCTGGTCTGGTCTGCAGTCTGGCTGGACCGAAAGGGTCAGCCAGTTGGATTCACTGAGAGTACGAAATGCACGCTGCTTGGTGCAGCTCATCAGGCCCACAAGCCTGATGAGGGTACGATCAGGGGCAAAGCAGCTTCCGAGATCGCTGCCGTTGGCGAAGCTGGACTTCAACAGATGGACAGGAACGTGGGGAAATGTGTCTGTCCCATGTCCTCGTATGTCGCGACTCGTATGCGCAAGTCCGAGCCGCGAATGTGGGTCAAGTCCAGCAAACCGTAAAAGCCCCGTTTCAGTTTAGATAATATCGTTTGTATACACTTACATTAACTCTACCTATGCCAGCTGTTCACTTATGTGGTACCCTTTCAAGTGCTTTGCTGTTGCAGAAATTTACAGCAGTTGCCACGCAAATTCTGGAAGTACACACAGCCTGTAATAGCATCCATGTTGTTAGTAAATCTAGTATATACTACTTATTAGTAAGAGTGCATCAGGGAAATGTTTCTACGAGTAATACCAGTCCATAAACGAGTTCTTCAATGTGTTGGCGATGGCACCAGTGACGCTTCCATACGTCGAAGAGAGTCGTTTGTTTGCAATGGTGGGCTGGTCTGCAGACTTGAGCTGGCTCCAAAGAGCATCACCCATAACGCAGTGCGTGGACTGGGTGTACGTGAACACTTTGAACTGCACGTTGGCCGATGCGCGGTTATGTGAAATCTCGTCCAGCGATGATTTGATCCCTTGGGAATAGTTTTGAAGAAGAGCGAGCTGCTGCGGAGTGCACTTGGCCTTGTCGTAGTTGGAAGAGAGGCACTTGATGATAGGGTTGCTCTTCTTTTTGGAGCGAGGAGCCAACGAGAGCGCCACGCCCTTGTAGTCCGCAAGCGAGTTCACAAGGAAGGTCGGGGTCCGGATGTACTTGAGATTGTACTGCGGAAAAAAACATTTCCAACTCTGCCCAGGATTCGCTGTTGGAGACACGGGCATAACAGGCAGAGTAGGAAGGCGTGAATTGCGTAACGAGCATCATGACGGGCATAAGGACTGGATACAGTTCAATATGGACAGGTAAAAAGGATCACTATAGTGGATAGGGTAAAAAAAATGAAATACGTCAATCCCAATGCAATCGGTATAACTGTCTGACCTTGCTGGCAGTCGCCGTTGATCCCGATGCCGTTGAAGCTCTGCAGCTGAGTCATGCGCCCGACCTTCTCACGCAGGGAAAACTGACCCTTGTAGTCCTTCACATCTGCCCACGGATTTCAAAGGCGAGGAAACAAACAGCAAGAAGAGTTTGTGGCATATAATCAACTCGAATGCTCAGATCGCAGGAAGGTAGGGCCACACATATATCACGTGCGTTTGCCCCTGATTTTTCGCCATCGTACCTGGGATAAACCCGGCGTCCATGAGGCATTTGGTCTTGAGGCCGAAGGGCTTGAGCTGGCCCGCGATCTGATCGCACAGCATCGACACCGCCACGGCGCCAGCGCTGCACCCCGCCACCAGCACGTCCGTGCCCTTGCTCATGCCGCGCTGGCTCAAGAGGTCTGCGTGCAGGCAGAGAAAAATAAAGCAAAAAAGACACAGGGGCAGCAAGGGACAGGAGTGGAAGGCAGCAACGAATCAGCATTCAGAGAGTCATCACGTGGGCCAGACGGCACGCCACCCCATGCCATTCCGTGACGTTCCCCGTACGTACCTTCACGCGACACACCTCTCGTACCCCGCACCTTCACGCAACCCCTGCCGTACCTTTGATCGAGTCCTTGAGGTTCCAGTTGCCGAGGAAGAAGACCGTATCGTTGGCCTTGGTGCGCGCCATGCCCGAGCCGCCCGCGAACGAGCCGCCGTCGCAGTACTTAATAGATGCCACGTTCCAGTTGTAGAAGCCCGGGTTGTCACGGCTGCTCGGACTCACCACGCCGTTGAACTCCACCTTCTGCCGCACCCCGTGCGCAAGCGCGGACCGGCGGGGGACGGGGGAGGGGGAAGGGCGAGTGGGGAGAGAAAGTGGAGGCAGGCAGAGGGGAAAAGGCAGAGGGGAAAAGGCAGAGGGGAAAAGGCAGAGGGGAAAAGGCGTTGGAGGGTGACTGGTCAGAAGGACCAATTGGAAGGGTCCTGGCAGGCTGGAAAAGGTGTTAACCGGTTGGAAGGGTTCTAATTCGTATGGCTGCAACTGAGGGAACGAGCTCGAACCGGACGGAATGGACGCTGTTGAAACGCTGCACTCGTTCTGCAAGGGGCACGGGAAATAACCGTGGGGACGGGCGAGCAACGGCAAAGCCTGCGTGGTGGGACGACAAGGGAAAAATGTGACGATGGTGAGCATGAAAACGAATAGGACGATGGGGACGAAGGGTGCGACGGGAAAGGTGGAAAACGAAGGCGGGTGAATGCGGGGCAGTCGAAGGAGTATACTCACGCGCTCCTTTGGCCATTGGTTGGAGCTCCCGAGAAGGCCTTTGGAACGCACGGCGCACTGCTTGAGGCTGAAGCACCACCCGCCGCCCTGTGGACCCAAAGGATAGACGAGTGGACATGAGACATGAGCACATCGCCACGAGGAGTGGGGCGGGTTTGGGGGGGGGGAACTCACGCGAGCTTGCTGTAAATGCGAGCTTGCTTAGAGCGCCTACCTCAAATCGAGCTCAGAGCATCTGTCCAGCTGTTTACCATAAAAACACGAAATTTCAAGGAAAACAGCTGGAGCTAGGAAATGGGTGAGAATCAGACCTCGAGAAAAATGATCCACTTCCGAGAGCCAGTGCCGAAGCCCTGACGATGGTAGTACCCCGGGGCACTGAGGGAGAGGGAGACCCAGCCCAAAAGAAGAGATGGGCAGGCCAGCAGGAGCAGAAGCATATGTGTGAAGAATGAAACCATCGGATGCACCACACACTGGTTTCATGAGAGCAACCGGCATGCTTCTTTGGAACGACAACACGACAAGTACCGACTGGGTGTTCCTTCTGCCTCAATCTGATGCCTCAATCCAACGCACCTGCCGTCCAAACACCGCCCCTTGGTAGAGCCCTCCGACAGCAGATAAAGCTTTGTGGTTGCCACCTTAGCACCACCATTACCGCCACCGCCGCTGCCGCCGGTGTCACTAGGAGGGGCGCTGGGTTGCGGCTCCGGCTTTGGCGCCGAGATGGGCGGACGGGGCTTCGGCTTCGGTGGAGAGGTGGTCGGATTGCGGCCTGTGAACGATCCTCCTCCGCCGCCGATGCCGCCGCCGCCGCTTCCGCTTCCATCACCGTCGCCGCTGCCGCCGCCTCCAGGAAGATCTTCTCTCTTTTTGAAGCTCGTCTCCGAGTCGCTCTTGCCGGCACCGTTGCCGCCGCTAGACGGAGCTGGACGTCTATATGAGAAGCCCTTGCCATTGCCAGATGTAAGATCGTTACCGATATCGCTACCGCCACCCCCGCCGCTAGACGGGGCCGGACGTCGAGGAGCAATGCTCACGCCACCACCAGAAGTGGGCTCGTTACCGCTACCGTTCCCGTCACTGCCGGTGCGGGGAGTGAATGAGGTGTCAGAGCCGCCACCACTACCAGAGTTGGCACTGGAACCGCCGCTCTCTGGCAGGTCAGGACGATACGTCATACTGACGCCTGCAAGCGGGTCGCTTGGGTCCTGATCGAAACATGTGGCAGGAAGGATACCGTGAGCGAGGACCAAGAGGAGAGAAAGGAGAGCCAGAGGTACATGCGGGGAAAAACGACGGACAGCGATTGAGGGAGTCATTGTTCGGTGTCTCCAGAGCTAGTGTTGTGGCGTGGAACAGAGAAACGGGATTCCTAAGGGACGACGAGTATTTCTGTGCTCGACAAGGTAGCTAGAAGGAGAAAGGTGAGACTTGGTCGCTTGGGTTCAGAGCCGGGTTTATCAACAGATACATTTATTCACGTTGCAGATTGAAAGTGCTGTCCAGGGCGAGATGATGGGTGTGTTGAGGTCGCCGGCTAACTTGGGCAGTGGGCACGCAGTCCTTCAGTTGTGACGGCGCCATCACGGAAATCGTGTGCGGTGTTTGATGGGTACCATGATTCTGTTTCTACGATGGTCGGAGTGGAGGGCAGGGGAATGAGTGGGAAAATGTCTCAGCGAACTCATCGGGCCACTGATGTCCATGCCATATAACTCGAATGGAATAGACTCTTTCCGCGCCGCGCATCGACCGCACATTGGGGGTTCCCAGTCGTGTCGCGACTCGCTAATTCGCCCACTCACAAGAAAATTGCTTCGACGGGGGGGCAAGTGAGTGGCTGGCAATGTTGTGGGGGTGGGGCTCACACGATTCATGAAGGGGACAAATTTCTATACATCTGATGTGGACCATGCCACTTCAGCAGCTTGTAACAGTCTGTCAGACTATTCATATATCTTTTCAAGTTCCTGATAATAAAGTTTTTGAGAGTTTAACTTAAGAAAAATGGGAAGTATAATATATGTTTTAGCCGAAGAGAGTCACACTGTATCGATACTATTTAATACGAATAGTTACGACATACAGAAGGCTCATTCACATCAATAAGCGTATAATAGTGCAAAACATAATAATTGAAATTGTATAATTCAATGTTGGGTGCATAGTTACTGTAACGTAATCAGCCATTGAGAAATGCTATCACCAATGTCATGTATCCATTTCTGTAAGGAATTCTCTCGATATTCCTTAGCGCGCCCTGCAACATCGTATACAGCAGCAGCCGTTGTTCGCCCGTTACTGCTAACGGGGCTTCGCCGACTTCGCGCGCACTGTTTCACCAAACCTCGCACTGCTGGCCTGGCCGTATCGGCCTACGCTTCGGGACTAGCCCGAGCCCCGCTTCCAGCATAGCACTAGCTAGCTCGCACGCACCGCGTTACCGTTTGCATGTTTCGCGTATAAATGTTCGCTCATGCCTTCGCTCACATTTTGTACTCGTTTCACACCTTAGTGCAATTCTCGCAACTTCGATTCATTGCACCCGTAACACTTGGTATCAGAGCCTCTTTCTTTTCGGACCGTGTCAGAACATTATAGCTCATGCATATTGTGTAGGCTATAGTGGGGTAGCCCATAAGGGGTACAACCCAATTAGGGTTAGTACTTGTACCCAATTCATTCATAGTTCATCCATTCCTTGTTTCTTCTCATGGTATCGAGCAGGTTCCCTCGTGGGAGCTGTTCCTAGGGCCCACCGTTTTTTTTCCTGCCCGGAGCGCACTCAGCCCCTGCCCGAGTCGCGCTCCCCTCTCTCGCGCCGCCCTAGCGGCCCCTTCGCGCCGCCCTCGCGGCCCCTTCGAGCCGCCCTCGCGGCTCTGTCGCCCTACCCTAGCGACCCCGCGGCCCCACCCTCGCGGCGCCGGCCGCCTCCCTTCGCGGCCCCGATCCGCCGCCCTCGCGGCCCCCTACTCCGCCGCCCTTCGCGGCCCCTACTCCGCCGCCCTCGCAGCCCCGATCCGCCGCCCTCGCGGCCCCGATCCGCCGCCCTCGCGGCCCCGCTCCGCCGCCCTCGCGGCCCCGATCCGCCGCCCTTCGCGGCCCCGATCCGCCGCCCTCGCGGCCCCTACTCCGCCGCCCTCGCGGCCCCGATCCGCCGCCCTCGCGGCCCCGATCCGCCGCCCTCGCGGCCCCTACTCCGCCGCCCTCGCGGCCCCTACTCCGCCGCCCTAGCGGCCTCGGCCCCTGCTCCTACGGCCCCGGCGCCTGCTCCTACGGCCCCCACGCCTACTCCTACGAGCAGCCCTGCCGCCGAGCCGCCCAGCAACCGAGCCGCCCAGCCGCCGAGCCGCCCAGCAGCCGAGCCCCCCCCCCATGTACATCACCCTCTACTACATAGTCACCCGTCTCCCTGACTCCCTTCGTGTAGTCAGGGACCACTTCCTCTCGGTTTGCCCCACCACTCTCACCGTTGACCTCCTCGAGAAGGCCCTCCTAGCAGCAGAAAAGAGCATAGTCGCTGTAGGAGCCTCTCGTGGTGACCCTCGCACCCCCATCTTTGAGGGGTGTTCCCCCTCCCCTCTTTTGCCCTCTGTTGCCTCTGTTGCTGCGGCCGACCTCGCTGGTTTGGAGTCGGTTGGGGCAGCGTCTACCCCTAGCGGGAGACGCCGCCCTGGCAAGGGCAAGGGGGGCAGGGGCGCTGGAGGAGCTAGCGGGGGCGGTGGAGGCGGCGGTGAAGGCGGTGGAGGAGGTGGGGGTGGCGGTGGGGGTGGTGGCGGGGGTGGAGGTGTAGGTGGCGGCAGTGGAGGCGCAGGCGGCAGCGGCGGTGGCGGAGGGAGCGGAGGTGGCGGCGGTGGAGGAGGAGGCGGCGGAGGAGGTGGAGCTGGTCGGGGTGGCGCTGCGCAGAGGGTCGGCTCCGGTGGTGGTCAGCGCCAGCAGCAGCAGCAGCAGCAACAGCAGCAGCAGCGCACTCGTGACGTCCCCTCCCCTCAGCAGCTCCGTGAGTGGTACACTGCACGCCAGAGGGGTTGGGGTACTGGTCCGTGCACCTACGTCCTGCGCACCGGCGACCGCGCGGGTGAGCAGTGCGGGGGTGCGCACTCCACCCAGCGCTGCTTTGGCCGCTTGACGGACGCTTGGCGTCACCAGTTCCCTGAGGCCACTGAGATCCCCCGCTGGGGTGAGCTGTCTAGGGCGGGTGTAGCTGTCTTTGACCTTGACTTTGATGCTATTCTTGCTGCCATGTATACTGTGACTATTAGTGATGAGGGTGACTGTTACCGGTGTTTTCCGCCCGACCCGGGCATTGAGACTGCTGCTCTAGGTACTGGTGAGGCTGCTGCTCTAGGTGCTAGCGAGGCTGCTGCTCTAGGTGCGTCTGCTCCCTCAGGTACTGGTGAGTCTGCTCTCTCAGGTTCTGCGTCGGCTTCGGCCTCCCTCACCTTCACCCTTGACTCGGGGGCTTCTCGCTCCTTCTTTCGAGACCGCACCACACTCACGCCGCTTGGCCGGCCAGTTGCGGTCTCTCTGGCAGACCCCTCTGGGGGTCCTGTCCTTGCTCACTTCTCCACTGTCCTCCCGTGTCCGGCGGCCCCCTCTGGCACCCTGTCTGGTCTTTACCTCCCCTCGTTCTCTACGAACTTGGTGAGTGGTGCTGACCTACAGGATGCGGGGGTTCACCAGTTCACTCCTGCGAGTCAGCGGGTGACCCACTGCACGGACGCTCGGACAGGCCGACACCTGGCCACGTTTACACGTCGGCCGGGGTCGAGCCTGTACACACTGACCACTGCGTCTCCCCCAGTCCCTGCGTCTGGTCAGGTAGCTGCGTCGGGTCAGGTGTTTGCTGCAGCGTCCAGGTCTGGTCCTGAGTCTGCCCCCTGCTCGTGTCGCCTCCTGTCTCACGAGACTCTCCTCTGGCACCACCGCCTTGGTCACCCCTCCCTGCTTCGTCTCCGGAGCATGGCCTCCCGTGTCCTTGTCTCTGGTCTTCCCCGGTCCCTCCCTCCACTTCCTCCGGGGCCTGGCCCTACCTGCGTCCCCTGTGTCGAGGGACGACAGCGGTCTACCCCTCACTCCTCCCAATTTCCTCCGACAGAGGCCCCGCTGCAGACGCTTCACATAGACGTGTGGGGCCCGGCCCGCGTCCGTGGACAGGGTCACGAGCGCTACTTCCTGCTGGTGGTTGACGACTACTCGCGTTACACCACAGTCTTCCCCTTGCGCAGCAAGGGTGATGTCACCGAGGTGTTGATCGACTGGATCCGCGCAGCTCGTCTCCAGCTCAGGCGGAGCTTCGGCTCGGACTTTCCTGTTCTGCGTCTGCACTCTGACAGAGGCGGAGAGTTCTCCTCTGGCCTTCTGCGAGCCTACTGTCGTGCACGAGGCATCCGCCAGACCTTCACGCTTCCGGACTCTCCACAGCAAAATGGGATTGCTGAGCGCCGCATTGGCATGGTCATGGACGTCGCCCGTACGTCCATGATGCATGCGGCTGCCCCCCATTTTCTGTGGCCGTTTGCGGTTCGGTACGCGGCGCATCAGATCAACCTTCAGCCCAGGGTCTCCATGCCGGAGACCTCCCCGGCCTTGCTGTGGACGGGGAAGGTTGGCGATGCGTCTGCGTTCCGTGTCTGGGGATCTCGGGCGTTTGTCCGCGACTTGTCTGCGGACAAGCTGTCCCCTCGTGCTGCTCCTTGCGTCTTCCTGGGTTTCCCCCCTGACGCCCCAGGGTGGCAGTTCTACCACCCCACCTCTCGCCGTGTTCTGTCCTCCCAGGACGTCACGTTCGACGAGTCGGTCCCCTACTACCGCCTCTTCCCCTACCGCACTCCGTCCCTCCCCCCGCCACCGCTCTTCCTTGTACCAGGTCCCCCCCCGGTAGACCCCCTCCCCCCTCAGGGTCCTGCCCCTTCAGGTGTGTCCCAGGTAGACGCTGTTGAGCCTGTCGAGGTCGCTGGTGACTCTGGTGCTGCTGAGGGTGCTGAGCCTGGGGGTGCTGACTCTGGGGGTGCTGAGCGTGTGGGTGCTGACTCTGGGGGTGCTGAGCGTGTGGGTACTACGACTGGGGGTGCTGAGCCTGGGGGTGCTGCGTCTGGGGGTGCTGAGCCTGGGGGTGCTACGCCTGGAGGTGCTGAGCCTGGGGGTGCTGCGTCTGGGGGTGCTGAGCCTGGGGGTA